TGTTTTCAGAATCTGGTTTTGAGCCCAGAGCTGCAGCCGATGCCTCTATGAGCCTCGCAGATGTGCTCGCTGGAAACGGCCTCATGAATGTAGTTTTGACTCCATTTCTGAGTTAATTACCGCTCTGGCAGAGGAGGTTAGATTAACAACCACCCAGTGAAAGTCGCAGCGCCTCTAAAGAGAGCCGTCATTTAATTCAAAGGAAACTCGCATTTAGAGATGAATCACCCCGCGGGAGAAAAATATGTTTTAAATGGCTGAACTTAGACATCTCTGAAGGATTCGAATGAGCTACATTCAAATGATTTCTGTTTGTGAGACTTCCATCAGCCACACACAGGTACAGGCTCAGGTCAGTCAGTTTGTTGTATTTTTAGCCTGACATGCACCGTAGGGGCCAGAGAGGCACGCTCTGTTCTCCAGCGGGTGGTAAAAGTTTAATAAGGCACATTAATAATTTCTCATTTCCTAATGTCTCTGTGTATGGTTGTCTGTGTGGGATTCTTTATTTAAATCTGAAACCAGGAGGAACATTTAGCACCTCCTATTATTACCCTGAAGGAAGTACTTTCAAATGCATCCATTCTTCTTCAGGTCTGAAGTTGTTTTACTCCTTTTTATTTGAGTGGTGTAACAAAATCACAGATTTTTGTTTCTCTAGCACGCAGAATAAAGTATGGTTTTATTTTCCTAGAGCTTAAAAATCTGTTTCTGTTTAAGCTTTTCTAGCTTAAATTTGTTCTTAATTTAGACTTGTTTGTGCATAGCTTGAATTTTTTAGGCTGTTTGCTTTGATTCTATCAGTGGTTTATCTGACTGTGCCTAAAGGAAGAGAATAAATGGCATCCCGTCACCATGCCAGACTCTGAATTAGTCCTGTGTGGTTGCTAGCATCGCCAAGGAAACAAGTGCGTGATCAAGCTGCTGATGCTCACGTCAAAGTGGGCAGCAGGCTTCCTGCTGATCAGCCTAACAGAGCAGACTCCCACCTGCCTAATCATGGATGTCCAGAAATTTAGCTCAATGCCATCAGTTTGGAGAGAGGTTGATCAGCCAAAGCACTAAATGTGTTTTTAGCCGTAACACTTTTCTACATTTTTCTATACTTGCCATCAGTGCTTGCTAACAGGCTATCAAAAACAGAAAGCAGCGCTTTTCTGTCTGTAGAACACGAACAAAAAGCTATTGCAAGTCTTCATTAGATGAGGAAAAACTTAAAAAAATGCTTCAACTCTGACAACTTTTCAGATATTGAGCTAAAGTTTAGTGTTGTACCAGCTAAGTCTTCTCCAACATCTGCTCCAAGTACTAACAGATTGCACCAGATCTTGTGATTTTGTGAGGGTTTGTGCATGATGTTGTTTTCCAGATGTTATTATTATTAGCTTGTAACTATAGACCTATCTCTTTATTGCCACAGTTTTCAAAGATACTTGAGAAACTTTTTGTAATTAGATTTGAAGCATTTACCAACAAGTTTGATCTTTTAAACGACCATCAGTATGGGTTTAGGAAGAATCGTTCAACCTCATTAGCAGTTATGGATTTGGTAGAGCAGATTGCAACAGCAGTGGATCAAAAACTTCATGTAGTGGCTGTCTAAAATGACTTGAGTAAGGCATTTGTTACAACTGATCACACATACCTGCTCAAGAAATGTGAATACTATGGTCTTCGTGGTAAAACCAATCAATGGCTTGAAAGTTATTTAAGCAGTAGGTTTCAATATGTAAATGTTAATGATGTAGATTCACAGCTTGAAAGAGTAATATGTGGTGTACCGCAAGGCTCGGTGCTAGGACCGAAATTATTCAACATATACCTGAACGACATCTTTTCTGTATCGTCTCGGTTAAAATTTATTATGTTTGCAGATGATACTAATTTTATTTGTATGGGAAAAGATATGAGTAAATTATTACAAGAGGTTGAAAACGAATTGGGTTCAGTTAAAAAATGGTTTGATTACAACAAGCTATCACTTAATGAAAATAAAACCAAATTTATGATATTTTCAAGGAACAGGGACAATGACGGTGCTAAGCTGTATTTAAATGGAGTCCCAATTGAACAAGTATATGAAACTAAATTCCTCCGTGTGATTATTGATAGTAAACTCAGTTGGAAACCACATTTGGAATATATCAAAACGGCAAGTGTCTATATCTATTGCTATACTTTATAAAACTAGTGATGCACTAAATAAAAAATCCTTGTTTTTGATTTATAGCTCTTTAGTTATGCCTTATTTGTCTTACTGTGCAGAGGTTTGGGGAAATGCAGGTAAAACGTGTGTTGAGACTGTATTTAAATTACAAAAAAAGGCGATTAGAATAGTTAATAAATCGGGATACCTCGAACCAACCCATAATCTATTTAGTCAAACTAAAACGCTAAAATTAGGAGATATTATTAAAGTAAAAATCTTAGAGATTCTTCATAAAGTAGTTAACAATAATATCCCAAATTGCATAAAAGTTTATTTCAAACCAAGAGATGATCATTATAATCTCAGAGGTGTATTTATGTTTGAATGTGTAAAAGCCAGAACTAATGTGAAATCAAGATGTGTTTCTGTTGTTGGTGTGAAATTGTGGAATGAGTTAGATGATGATTTGAAGAAATGTACTTCTTTACTAAAGTTTAATGCAGGTGTAAAGTGTCGCATATGTACAGGGTATGAAAATTATGTATAGACATTAATGAATTTTCATTGTGGTTAGTTATATTGGGGAAAATAAAAGAAATGTATGTTGGTTATGTATCTTAGGTGGAAAATAGGGTAGGCTAAAATAAGCATTGCTTCTGCCTATTCCTTTTTTGGTTTAAATTCAAGTTGTTAATATTGTTGTTTTGTTTGAAAAGAAAAATTTTATGTTAATGCTATAAACCAAAAATAAAGACAGAAAGAAAGAAAGAAGAAAGAAAGAAAGATGTGACCAAAATAGCTACAACTATTTAACATAAGATGATCATATATTCAGCAGGTTATATGCACTCCCACCCAGAACGCCACATTTTGATCATTAAAGACACTATCTGGATAAAGCAACATCTCATTTTTGACATTTTTCTGAAAATGCGTCGCTGGCATTTAAAAGAAATCCATTGAATCAAACATGGCATCGATTTTTGAGTTTGGATTTGTCAGAGTGGGAGCAGCTGATATGATGAAGGCAGAAAAAGCAGAGATATGTGGGCTTGAATCTGGAAAGTTAACCTCCCTTGAAGAGGAACACTCCCATCTGCCTCATGACACAATTAGGGAATGATTGGGCTGCTGATGGAGCAGATAGGTGGATGATGAAAAAAAGATATGAGTCATGACTGTAAACAGCACAGCTGGTTGTAAAAGGCTTTTAAAATCCACAGCCTACATTATGTATTAGTTCTGGTTATTTGAGTGAAATATTTGCTGAATAATAGGGATGCACCGATCAGGTTTTTTGCTGCCGATCACCGATACCGATATCAAAGAATGCTGATCACCGATACCGATCCCGTGGATTGGCCAGGAATTTTCTACAACATTATAATGAGTGCTACAAACTACATAATCTGGGAATAAAGGAAATGTAACCTAATCTAAAATGGTCTGTATTAGGGTTGTCACGGTGTGAAAATTTAACCTCACGGTTATTGTGACCAAAATTATCACGGTTTTCGGTATTATCGCGGTATTTTTTTGAAACGTGCTACATTTTCACACAAGTAAATAAACCGTGTAAATCAGGAAATATTGTCCTCAGTTTGTGTCTAAATTTTGCCTAAAATGTGTTATTTTGTAATTATGTTGTTTATTTGTTTACATTTTTTTCCCTTTAGTCTTTAAAATACCAATATTTGTCCATAACTTCTTATTTTATGTCTGTTTGATGTCATCATTTTAAAAATATTAGACCAGATGATACTCAGTACTCAAGTAGCCTTCTAATCAGATACTTTTTTACCCTTACTTGAGTAATAAACCCTATATCAGGAAAATATTGTCCTCGGTTTGTGTCCTTCCAGTGAGCTTTGCAGATGTGGGAAAATGTCATCAGGCAGTAATCGTTGTTAAATTCATAATTATTCTCGGAGAGACCAACTCTTATCTGCCCCTGGGAGCCCCGTAATGCATAGCGTCATTTCAACATGGCGGTGTCCGCGACACGGTTTATATGCAGGTAGCGGCGCTGCGGCTGCTTTATATAGCCACTCGTTGCATTCTCCCTCAACCCAAATCCTCGGATCACGCATTTTAGCTAAAACGCTAACGTTAGCTTGCCTTTCGTTGACTGTAGAGTTGTGGGTGATGGTCACGCAGATGTGTCATGAGATGTGAAGCGTTGCTGCCTTTCACAGACACTTTTTCTGCACGTGCTGCAAACAGGATAGCCGTCTTCTATCAACTGTCCCTCGGCATTCTTCAAATATCCAAAACATGCCCGTACTTCCCACTTTGTCTTCTTTGAGGGATAATAAATGTCCTGAGCGCTGCCGTCTCCTCCTTTGACCATTATTTCAGCTTTAGCTTCAAGAAAGTTTTGGTTGTAAACAACAAAGTGCGCATGTGCCGCCGGCAACTTCAGCAGATGATACGGTGGCTGGTAAGGGTCACCGCGCCTACACCGCAGCCACGGTAACCCACCAAGATAATATAGTTTTTTAAAAAACAAGACAGTTATTATTATTGTCAACTTTTTTTTTACCGGGGTTTACCTCTACACCGGTTACCGTGACAACCCTACCTGATCGGTTTGCTTTGATCTATTTTGAAAATTCCGATCAAAACCGATAGGGGCGCTATCGGCCGATTGGGATCAAATGCCGATCCATCGGTGCATCCCTACTGAATAATGTTAACAAATTGTATGGTTATTGATGATAAATGACAATTTTACCTCAATTATCATAATATTCTCTCCTCACATCTGTAATGCACTTTTATCTCTAGCTTGCCATTGCCTTTAAAGTTCCTTCTGTAGTGTTGAGCCATGGATTTCTTCCTTTTCTTCCAGGCAACAATTGGAATTGACTTTCTGTCGAAAACGATGTACCTGGAGGACCGAACGGTAAGGACCTTAGCTATAGCTGGAGCATGTCACCACAGAGATGTTAAATGTTAGTTTAGCTACCGGTGCTGTTACACTTCTCCCATGCTGTCATTTTGTTCTTCCTTACCAAAATGTTGCGGATGCATTCAGACTGTTGAGCTGTGTCGGGGAACAGCATGGCGGCTTTCTTGTGCTGCGTAGGTGGATACGATGGAGTGTGTGCTGTTTTTCTGTCTGTTTGTCATAAAATAACCCACAGTACTACCTTAGAAGTTCACTTGTATAAATAAAAGCTGTTTTTTGTGTGTGTGTGTGAGTGAGTGAGCGTGTGCATGCATGGGAGCCTTCTGTTTCCAGGCTCTCTGACTGTCTGAATCGTCTCCCCCCTCCTCAGCTCTCTCTCTCTGAACCCCAGGTGAGGTTGCAGCTCTGGGACACAGCGGGACAAGAGCGCTTTAGGAGCCTCATCCCCAGTTATATACGTGACTCCACTGTGGCCGTGGTGGTCTACGACATAACAAGTCAGTGCCCTTCATCATGTTTCTGCATTTCACTCTTCTGCTCAGAGGACACCTAATGGCTGATCATCTTATGTTACACATGCGTGTAAATTGGGGATAAAATGGGTTTTAATCATTTGCTTGGAAAGATTTCCTGTGGTTACTAATTCAAGTTTTAACATGAATTCATCTTAAAAACCAGCTACACTCTAAAAAACTACAGTAAATCTTTGATTATCCAACAGATGAAAGTAAAAGTGAGATTTTTAGGCCTCAGAGATCAGATGGTAAATAAAAATGGTAAATAGCCTGTTTTTATGTAGTACCTTCAAGAGCCCTACATCTCCCATAGGCGCTATACAACACAGCATATTCACACACACTGATGGTGATGAGCTACATCAAATCTGTTGTGTAATTGTATTTTACATTTCATTAATGCATTAATAGAAAGCTTTATTTAATTTCTTCTCGCCATCCTTTAACGTGAGGAGAGAAAGTTGCTGCAATGAAGGAAACTCGTATCTAAAGCGTCGGCATTGGTTCAGAGACATGGCTCCATGATGCGTTGGCACAAGGTCTATGCAGTTGGCCTGCAGAGGTAGACGTGCCCAATTTTTTAACTGTTGGTCGTAAGTGAAGGAGACCGCAAGTCTGATTGGTGACGCCGCCGCTTACAGCATTGCCCCTCAGAAGAACGAAGCGAGTGCTGAAGATGCCTAGCAGCAAACGCGGAGCAGATCTGAGAACGTCTCTTGGAAAAAGACCCACCATATGAACTTTTCTGCACCTGTGACTGAAGGACTTTGAAGATACGCAGCAGATGTTTTAATTCATGGCAGGAAGTGGGAAATGTGGGCTTGAAGGTGGTGACTGCTTGAAGAGGTGGAGGACAATAGGCAAAGTTATCTGTGTTAACAAGTCTCTGAGATATGTAAACACAATTTAATAAATACATTATCGTGGACCAGAGACGGCAGGATTCCTCCAGAAAAGTGCTCCGTTGTCCTGGTGGGAAACTGCTTTGCAACACTTTCCCGGTGATGGAAGTCTGAAAGGAAAAGGTCCCCGTCGACGCGTGTGGACGACTCCGCAACTGAGCTGACGCGCCTATAAATGAGGCTACGCTGGTGTTCATGGGGGTTGGTTTGTTTGGGTTCAGCTTCTGTCAGAGGAGTTAATACCTGCCCTGTAACCGGAGGGTTGCAAGTTTAAGCCCTGTCTGTTGCAGTCGCCGTGTCCTTGGGCAAGACACTTGGTTGTCAGAGGGACCGTGACAGCCTCGCCTCTGTCTGGGCACTGCAGCTGCAGCTACATTGTAGCTCATCACCAGGTGTGTGTGTGTGTGTGCGCGCGTGCATAAATGAGTGAACATGTTGTAAAGCACCTTGGGGGGTTGTGGAACCCTAAAATATGCTATATTAAATACAAACTGTTCCCCATTTCTGAGGTTTTTAGTTATTTTACAGGTTGATCACACAAACGAGCTCCATCTGCGGTGAGGATTATACTTGTGATCAAGTAAAACGATGAAAATGTTTACCACGGCTAAGAGTAAATCAATAACTAGGATAAAGTAAACTGGGCTGCTGAATCTAGTGTTAGCGCTGATTTTAACAAATACAATTAGATTATTGTAACTAAATCAGCATCATTCATGATGCTAAATGATCATGGCGTTTGATTTGGATTTCAGCAGAACTTTAAGATCCAAATATTAAATGATTATTCCACCAGGGCTGGCCTTTGTCACCGGTTCTGTTCATCACTTTTATGGACAGAATTTCTAGACGCAGCCGTGGTGTGGAGTGTGTCGAGTTTGGTGGCAGGAGAATCTCGTCTCTGATTTTTGCGGATGATGTGGTCCTCCTAGCTTCATCCAGCTCTGACCTTCAGCTCTTGCTGGGTAGGTTCGCGGCCGAGTGTGAAGCGGCTGGGATGAGGATCAGCACCTCCAAATCTGAGACCATGGTTCTCGACCGGAAAAGGGTGGCTTGCCAACTCCGGGTCGGGGGAGAGGTCCTACCTCAAGTGGAGGAGTTTAAGTATCTCGGGGTCTTGTTCACGAGTGACGGTAGGAGGGATCGGGAGATCGACAGGCGGATTGGTTCGGCGTCTGCAGTGATGCGGACGCTGAGCCGATCTGTCGTGGTGAAGAGGGAGCTGAGCCAGAAAGCCAGGCTCTAGATTTACCGGTCGATCTACGTCCCAATCCTCACCTATGGTCATGAGCTTTGGGTAATGACCGAAAGAACGAGATCGCGGATACAAGCGGCCAAAATGAGTTTCCTCCGTAGGGTGGCCGGGCTCAGCCTTAGAGATAGGGTGAGGAGCTCGGACATTCGGGAGGGACTCGGAGTAGAACCGCTGCTCCTCCGGATCGAAAGGAGTCAGTTGAGGTGGTTTGGGCATCTGGTCAGGATGCCTCCTGGACGCCTCCCCGGGGAGGTGTTTCGGGCATGTCCTGCCGGCAGGAGGCCCCCGGGTCGACCCAGGACACGTTGGAGAGGTTACATCTCCAATCTGGTCCGGGAACGCCTTGGGGTCCTGCCGGAGGAGCTGGTGGAGGTGGCCGGGGAGAGGACGGTCTGGAGCTCCCTAGTTGGGATGCTGCCCCCGCGACCCGGACCCGGATAAGCGGAGGAAGACGACGATTATTCTCATGTCATTCTCACTACTCTTAGAGCTGCTTTATACGATTATTATGTTGATCACATATGTTAGATTTAAAGGTCAAGTGTGAGTGTTGGTTCACCAAATCCCACTCTCTTTACTCTAATTTGACCCTAAAGGCGAGTTCTTTTACACCGTAGCGACACACTAACAGGTTTGTTTGTCAGTAAATTAAAAAGCAGCAGCGATTAGTTTATTAAATACCTTCTCAGATAATCCCAAAAGGATAAGTTCTTATGCTTTACACATACCGTTGATTGCATCGCTAGGCAACATCGAGTGAAACAGGAGAACAACAGCTGAAGGACATGATGGTTGTCTAGATAGGACATCTATATATATTTTTTCCTGGTCTTTTTGCAAGATGTTTTTTGGATTTGTTTGTAGTCTAAAACATATCCAGTTCCTAGTCTTGAACAAATATCTCAGATAATCATTTTGTGGCATTTTAAGGTCTCTTAAAACTCTCATCATGTACATATATACTGTAGGTATGTGCATGCTGAGATTTACTGTGCTGTCCTCTTTTCCACTGTATAATATACACATATTGTTTTAAACTGCCCCATCGCAGCTATTTTAGAGCAGAGCAGCATCCCTTGATAAAGAATAATTTTATATAAAATCTGGGTGACCTGCAAATGATCCTTCATGTTCATGTTGAAAAATAAATGAAGTCTTTTCTCATCAAAATCAAACACTTAGAATAGTCGGCGAACGTGGGAACGTCATGCAACAAAACAGAAAATTTACATTTTAGTATATTTATTTAATGTACTCTCACTGTCCGCTTTATTAGGTACACCTCACTATTGCTGGGTTGGACTCGTTTTGCCTTCAAAACCGCCTTAATTCATTGTGTCATGAAATCAACACGGTGATGAAAGCATCCCTTAGAGGTTCTGGTCCATATTAACACAACATGGTCACAGTCACCTCCATGATGGGACTCTCCCGCTCTATAACAACCCAAAGGTTCTGGGCTGGATGGAAATCTGGTGACTGTGAAGGTGGTTGGAGTTCAGTGAACTCATCGTTATGTTCTAGAAACCAGTTAGAGATGATCTGAGCTTTGTGACATGGTGCTTTATCCTGCTGGAAGTAGCTGTCAGAAGATGGATGGGTCCATGTGGTCATAAAGGGATGGACACGGTCAGCAACAGTTGATGGTGGCTCCGGAGTTTTCTGCCAGCTGCCTCACTGCCTGCAGTAATTTTCTGGTTCAGAGTCTAACAGCGAGCCTGAGACTGAGCAGAATGTTCAAGACTGCCACCATTATTATGCTGTGCTGTGTAATGTTTGTGTGCAGCATGCAGATCACCTCACGCTGTTTACTTTGCACTATTTGAGTGCTAGCAGGTAGCTCGTTCACGATGAAGTTGGGCATTTTTCCTTTAGCGAGTTTATCGTGTGTTTTCTGGCCCCGCCATCCCGTTTATTTGTAGAGGCCTGCGGCGGTATGGGTCAGACCCACAGCAGCTGCCTAGATCAACATCTCAGCCTCATAAGTTAGTTGTTTTATTTCATATGTTTAGCAGCACATTAAGACGAGCCAGTTGAGGTGGCTTGAGCATGTCCAACCTGGAGGAGACCTAAAGGGAGACCAAGGACACACTGGAGGGACTAATGTCTCTCGGCGGGCCAGGGAACACCTTGGAATTCTCCCGGAGGAGCTGGCCCAGGAGGGAAGTTTGGGCCTCTGTGCTTAGGCTACTGCCCCCACAACCCAACCTCAGATAAGCAGAAGAGAATGGGCGGATGGATAACAGCAGGCAACAGTCTCATGTGGACGTTTTTGCCAGAAGTGTGGCTCTGTGCTCATCTGAGCTGAAAGACAGGATATTAAACTTGATTACCAGAGACATGCTGCGTCTTTCTGTGGTGGAAGGTGATGGCTTCCAGAAGATGGTTTTTGCCTTCAATCCCAGATGCACACTTCCCTACACCAGTGGTTCCCAACCTTTTTCCCAAGGGACCCCGTTTTTTTTACCAGTAAATTTTTTGACGACCCCCTCCCATTTTCTCTTCCAGTACAAACAGTAATAAGAAATGATAAAATTGTTCAAGCACATTTTAATATGCTTTGATTCAATAGATAACAGTGATAGTAGGTCCAGTACAGAACAAAGTCATTAACAAAACCAAACACAGTTTGTATTACTTTTCTGAACACATTGTTTCTTGTAAACACCGATAAATCAATCATTCCTTTCAATAAATGTTCGACACATAAAAAATACACTGAGCAAAATGTACTTAAATGTGTATATTACTGTTTATACTAGATTATTTACTGTAAAGGCTGTGATTAATCAACCGGTCCTATCTTTAATGAACTTTTGACACTTGAAAATAAAACAGTGAGCTGAGCAAAATGCTCTTAAAAGTGTGTTACTCTTTCTGTACTAATTATTTCCTGTCTTACTATCAGTAAACTTTTCACTCATGAAAAAATGTGAGCAAAATGTAGGCTATAAACATGTAATAAATGAAGTTTTAACCCCTTAAAGTGGAGAGGTCCTGGCGATCCACTGAGAGGCTTTGGCGCCCCCTTGTGGGGGTCGGGACCCCCAGGTTAGGAACCACTGCCCTACACCATTGTAGTCGTTGCATTAATTTTCATACAGTTTGTTGTAGTTCAGTAAAGGTAGTCTTTTCTCAAAAGGAATCATCTGAGATTTCACATACAAACTCATCAGAATTTCCCCCCACCTGAATGACAACAGATGATTTAATAGAATATTTGAATAATTGATAGCTGCAGACCTACTTTCATCCACACCTGCTGTATTTTCTGAAAACCCTAGAGATGGTTTTGGGTCCTACTTACTCAGCAGATTCTGAAATACTCAGTCTGGTACCAAAAATCATGTCGCATGCAAAATCGTTTAAACTCTTTTTCTTCTCCATTTTGATGCTCAGTTTTAACTTCAGCAAGTGGTCTTTGCCGTGTTTACAGGACTGAATTCTCTGAATCGCAGCCATGCCGCTGGCCGACATAGATGTTTAATCGATGTACCTAAAAAAGTGGCCGATGAGTGTATAATTCTATACAATGTGCACAATCATGCATCGTCCACCTGCTATTAAAAAAACACTATTTGGTGTAAAGTCATCAGTATGATGAGAGGATGCATTGACTAGCTAATGTAATCGAGTACGTTTTGATACCGCCACTTATCTGTTATTACTGATATTAGTGGTTGTATTTGAAGCAGCAACATCTCCAGCATGTCTCGCTTCAACTGTTTAGTCCGATTTTTCTCTGCTGCTTCTCTTCAGATGTCAATTCATTCCAGCAGACGACAAAATGGATTGACGATGTGAGGACGGAGAGAGGAAGTGATGTCATCATTATGCTCGTTGGCAATAAAACAGACTTGGCAGACAAGAGGTGAGTAGGTGCTCAGCCTTACTCCGGCCATGAGATCCAGGCTCGTTCTCTTAAACAGGTTAGGAACAAATCATCAGACTGACTACCGTGGTGCTTTTTTCCAAACGAGAAAATGCTGTTGAGTCGCGTTTGACGAAGCCAAGATGGGGGAGAACTAGACTTTACACGGGGGAGGATTAAAGTAAAAGGGTAGGAAATGAGCAGAACATCTTTGGTGTGTTCTTGCTGTGTTGAAATTCTAATTCCATCTTTTAGTTCTTTTTAAAACACAGTCAGCGTCAGCCTGACGATGTTTGCAGTCGCAAACGAAACGTTGCAGGTAAATAAAACCTTTCTGTGTTTTAAAAAGAACTAAAAGATGGAATGAGCAGAACGATGCATCAGCGGGAGAACCTGAGAAAATAACGGGAAACATTTAGGTTCTAATGGCCGGTGTTCTGGTGGCTAAATTTATTGATCATACAAGTTTATAGGATTTATTCTACACGCACATTTCACGTATAAAGGAGTCTGTGTGACAAACTATGGGCCTCTTTACTAGGGATGCACCGATGGATCGGCACTTGATCGTAATCGGCCGATAGCGCCCCTATCGGTTTTGATCGGAATTTTCAAAATAGATCAAAGCAAACCGATCAGGTAGGGTTGTCACGGTAACCAGTGTAGCGGTAAACCCCGGTAAAAAAAAAAGTTGACAATAATAATAACCGTCTTGTTTTTAAAAAAACTATATTATCTTGGTGGGTTTACCGTGGCTGTGGTGTAGGCGCGGTGACCCTTACCAGCCACCGTATCATCGGCTGAAGTTGCCGGCGGCACATGCGCACTTTGTTGTTTACAACCAAAACTTTCTTGAAGCTAAAGCTGAAATAATGGTCAAAGGAGGAGACGGCAGCGCTCAGGAGGACATTTATTATCCCTCAAAGAAGACAAAGTCGGAAGTACGGGCATATTTTAGTTATTTGAAGAATGCCGAGGGAGTTTATAGAAGACGGACGGACGGCTATCCTGTTTGCAGCGCGAGCAGAAAAAGTGTCTGTGAAAGGCAGCAACGCTTCAAATCTCATGACACATCTGATGACCATCACCCACAACTCTACAGTCAACGCAAGGCAAGTTAACGTTAGCGCTTTAGCTAAAATGCGTGATCCGAGGATTTGGGTTGAGGGAGAATGCAACGAGTCGCTATATAAAGCAGCCGCAGCGCCGCTACCTGCATATAAACCGTGTCGCTGACACCCCCATGTTGAAATGACGCTATGCATTACGGGGCTCCCAGGGGCAGATAAGAGTTGGTCTCTCTCCGAGAATAATTATGAATTTAACAATGATTACTGCCTGATGACATTTTCCCACATCTGCAAAGCTCACTGGAAGGACACAAACCGAGGACGATACTTTCCTGATATAGGGTTTATTACTCAAGTAAGGGTAAAAAAGTATCTGATTAGAAGGCTACTTGAGTACTAAGTATCATCTGATCTAATATTTTTAAAATGATGACATCAAACAGACATAAAATAAGAAGTTATGGGCAAATATTGGTATTTTAAAGACTAAAGGGGAAAAATGTAAACAAATGAACAACAGAATTACAAAATAACACATTTTAGGCAAAATTTAGACACAAACTGAGGACAATATTTCCTGACATACAGGGTTTATTTAATTGTGTGAAAATGTAGCACGTTTAAAAAAAATACTGCGATAATACCGAAAACCGTGGTAATTTTGGTCACAATAACCGTGAGGTTAAATTTTCACACCGTGACAACCCTAACACAGACCATTTTAGATTAGGTTACATTTCCTTTATTCCCAGATTATGTAGTTTGTAGCACTCATTATAATGTTGTAGAAAATTTCTGGCCAATCCACGTGATCGGTATCGGTGATCGGTATCGGTGATCAGCATTCTTTGATATCGGTATCGGTGATCGGCAGCAAAAAACCTGATCGGTCTATCCCTACTCTTTACACTGGATTAAGGTCGGAGGATAATCATTGGATGTTCACCTGATTAACCTTTGGTGTTACTTTTTTATCACACGTGTCAGACACGAGGCCCGCGGAGCATTTTTATGTGGCCCGTGAGATAAATATAAAAAAATCTTAAAACTGACCCGCTGGCCGATTTTACCGCAAAGACTACAACTCCCATGATGCTTTGCGGCGTTAGCGTGGAGCCGAAGCGCCCCCTCCTTTGTGTTTTTTTCCAGCATCTGCTGCCGGTGTCTGCAGCTCCGCTGTCTCGGACAAACTAAACACTCCTCTCACTCAGCGCCGAGTTTACTCAGCTATTTGCTGACGGTGAAGCCCAGAAATGGAGATTTTAACCGCTCAGTAATGAAAGTTTTCCAATTAACTTCCAGACAGAGCTGATATAACTCCAGCGAGCAGCGACACGCTCAAACCAGCATGACTCTGTGGCTGCTGTAGTTTTTATTTTTCCTCCCCGACACACAACAACGTGGTCAAGCTGCTCAGACATGTTCAGCAGCACAAACCTATGTGAGCACCTGTTGTCATCTAATGTTGTCATTATTATGATGAAGATGAACAAAACAACAGGAGTCTCCTCCTCAGCTCAGATCAACCCCATGATGCAGGTATCTGGCTGGAACAGGTGAGCATCACAGTAAACCAGTGGAGCAAACTGAGCTTTAAATATGTTGGTTTTATGCTCTTTTTCTGCTCAAAACATGAAAGTTAACAGGTGAGATGTTGCGTTTTCATTTAAGATAAAATGATATTTTTATGTTGTTGTTGGCCCGTGAGAAAAGATTTAACCTACAGTAAACAGGAAGTGGAAAGGCTGCAGATAGATGAATAGAATAGAAAATCCCTTTATTGTTCCTCAGCGGGGAAAGCTAGACGTCACAGCAGCGATGACACGTATTACAGGAGAAAAAAGGAGAATAAAAAATAAGAAAAATGAATAAACAAGAAAACATAAATCCTGAATAGATTTATAAAATGCTGATTATACCACAAGTAATGAATACCACTGATGCCTTTTATTTAAAACCGACTTGCTCGTGTGTAATTTGGTTATTCCACATTCAGTGTTGATGCAAAAATAAGTTTGTTTCTAAATTAAAAGGTTCAAAATTGCAGATGTGTTGATAAAGAAAATGTGCAAATTTTCCGTCACTTTTTCAAAAAATATTAAGTTTGGCCCTCGACTCCGTCCCAGAGTTTCATTTCGGCCCCTTGTGAGTTTGAGTTTGGCACCCCTGATTTAGATCAAAGCTATTAAACACTAGCAAACATCTAAGTGGATTAAGGTCAGATGGGTTTACAGATATGAAACTAAAAGCTGATGTGTTAGTAGCTGAGGCATTCACAAGGCACGCTCTGGGTTGTTTTCAACAAAGATGCTCTTCGTTTTGAACTCTGGCATGAAAGATGATGGGTGAAGTGTATCACTTCAAGGAAATGCTGCTAAATTCTGCATATTCCACCTTTAATCACTGGTATCATATTTATATATTAAATTATACATCAGAAATGCTGTTTTTAATTATAAGCACTGTTTGATTTATGTGCATTTTGTAGAGCAGTACCCTTTCATTATCATAATATGCAAGATATGCGGTCATACTGAATGTTCTGTTCGTCATAAAAAATCAATCTGTGTGTGCTGAGTAGTTTCATTGTTACATATGGCCTTGATTTCCCATGTGAGAACAACAATTTACAGCTGGAGAGGGTTTCTCACTCGCTGTTTTATATCATAGTGTGTCAGAAACGGAAGGAAAGGCAAGAAAATGCTGCTGAGAGCAATTTCTGATCTCGTCTCACCTGGCCGGCCAATTAAAGCTCAGGGTTTTAATACAGAAAGAAAGAAAAATAGACTAAGAGCTTTCGTTTCACACTATAATCCGATTGCATCGTTTATGCAGAGTGCAGGGAAAATATTTTACACATGTTGTCCTCCAGCAAGATTGCTTCATTTTTTTCTTTTAATTAAATCATGGTTAATTTATTCTAACTGGAGTTTAGCTGGGTCATAATGTGGTCTGAAAGTTAAATCCTCGCCAAATGTTCCGTGGAAAGGAAGCAAATGCAATAAGGTCCTGTCAGCATCCTTTATTAATTTGCTCCTTACATGAGCCTCATCGGCTCATGTAAGCCGACGGATTTCCGCTTAAATCTGTGCACAGAAATTAAAATGGCAGGTTTTCAGTGCAATTGTCAAGAATAATAAACCTCGCTGAGCTTCTTAATTTTTAAAGTTAGTGCAAAGAAACTCAGTGATGATGAGAGATGAAATTGTTAGACATTAATGAAAAAATTGCTGCCAGTACAGATGTTACGGTGTGCGCTCAGCTGCTTCTGACACGTTAGGAGAGAATGTGGTAACAACTCATCTGTTTAGTCTTTAAAGGGACTGTAAGGAAGTTTGAAGTTTTTATGCTCGCGATCGCCACTCAGGCCTAACACGTAACTGCAGCTTCAAAAGATAGCTCGTGCACGAGGCGCGCATGCTGTACGTGCACACTCCTTAACGAAAATAACAGCTGAGACAGTCGTGTGTGTGTGTGTGTGTGTGTGTGTGTGTGTGTGCGTGTGCGTGTGCGTGGCCCGGAGGACAGAAGAACACAGCAAATTAATAAAAAATAATGTGCCTCTGTCTCTGCAGCTGCACTTTCTCGTCGGCCGGCCGAACGTGCAATGTGTGTGTGGGGGTGGGGGTGGGTTGCCTGGAGGACAGAGGACAGGAGAACACGCAGCTAATTAATTAAACAATTTGGTTCTGTACCTTTCTCTTTAGCACATCCGACTAGGGATGGGTACCTTTGACATTTGAATCGATTCAGTACTAATTGCCGGTACCTAGGAATCGATACCGGTACTTAACGGTACCAATTTTCGATACTTTTGAGTGTTTATTATTTTAATTCTCTTTTATAATTAAATATATTTTTTTCTCAATATATAACAATATTTGATAAATATCACGATAAATAACATACAACTGTTTGTATTTTAACATTGTCCTTGTAGTTTTATAAGCTGATAATTAAACTGAAGCAAACATCTTTACTGTGAACTAAATTTACTGTGTATCTTTATTCCTTTTGCCGTCTTTTTTCATTTGATTTTTCCTACTGGGAAGCTAGAATTTCCAAGGAGAAAGCGAACGCACCATTAGCTGATAACAATGGTAGCAATGGAAGCTAACATACCAAGCTAACGTTACCTTAAACAGTTTATTTTACCGAAACGAGGCACCGTTTGAAATGACGTGAATCGGTGCTCGGTCGGTACTATGGAATTTGGTCAGTACCTTAAAAAGTACCGAATTCGGTACCCATCCCTACAGCCGACAAAGGTTTATGATGGGTCAGTCCTCCTGCATGCTCAGATCTTGCCCTTCCCTCGCTTGAAAAATTGTTCCAAAATGAAAGTTGAACTTGCATCTTTTTTATCCATGAATTCAATGCCTTTTGGCAAGTCCTGAACACTGACCTTAATTGAGGCAAGTGAGGCCTGCAGTTCTTTAGAAGTTGTCCTGGGGTCTTTTGTGACCTCGCGGATGAGTTGTCTTTGCGCTCTTGGGGTAATTTTGGTCAGCTGCCCACTCCTGGGAAGGTTCAAACTTGTGTTATCTTTGACTAATGGTTAAATGTGATTGATGATCAGAAACATTTTGTGTGACAAACTTGCAAAAGAATTAGAAATCAGAAAGGGGACAAATAGTTTTTCACACCACTGTATGTTAGGTGTTCATCGTTGTTTCTCAGAAGACCAGCAGCAGACTGACTTACGCCTCTGGTGTTTCTGGACTTTCTGGCTGGAGTACAGCAGAGATCCTTGTCTGTGTTTCACACTTTGTGTCACAGAGAGAACAAAGCAATCACTGCCAGACATTGGCGGTTGTAAACAGGGGCCTGGGCCCCTATAGAACCGGCCCTGGCCCCTGTTATGGCCCCTGTGCTGAAGAGATCGGATCCCCCCCCCCCAACCCCCCCCCCCCCCCCCCCCCGGAGCTACATCGGAGATGGGAACTAATGCGCTGCAGCGTTTCAAACGGAGCCTTTAGAGCGCAGCACACTCTGTGGACTGAACTGTTTACCCAGTGGATTTTTGAATAAAAGATTTAAAATAGTTTAAATGGGACCCAAAGAAATTCTTGAGGACGACTAACAGAAAAGACGCTAAGAGACGAAGGCAGGCAATACAGTTTATTTTCCTGACATCAATGAATTTCCTTTGGCAAAATTGTGCACAAGCACAAAATTAGTCATATGGCGAAGACAAAAAAGAATTTTGATATTGCCCAAATGTTTCCCTTTTTTTCTTGCGCCCCCATGAAAAAATACTGTCCCCACTGTGGCCCCCCTGGAAAATTTGGCCTAGAACCGCCCCTGCTGTCAGATTCATTAAAACGCCATACAAATTTGCTGTTGTAATTTCTCAGGGGGCAGTGTAATTAATTGTTCCTTCACTGTTAGCCAATTAAGGCTGTGCTTACACTAAAATGACCACGCATGAACAGTATTATTAGCTGCTGTTCTGGGTTCAGATTCTATTTCGCATTCATTAACATGACCCTCTGTTTACAGGCAAATCACAATCGAGGAAGGAGAACAGAGAGCTAAAGAGATGAATGTCATGTTCATAGAGACCAGCGCTAAGACTGGTTACAACGTCAAACAGGTGAGTGGGGTCACTAGTTGGTGGACCATGGGACCATATTAGAATATGAAGAACAGAACACGTTGATGATAGCTCATCACCATCAGTGTGTGAATGGATGAATGATACACTGTAGTGTTAAAGTCCTCTGACTCTGAACGACGCTATACAAGTGCAGGTTATTTATTATTCATTCTCATGACATCATATATGTGAGAAAGACCAAGAACAGAGCATGTGACATGCTCTCAACTGATCACTTTAGAGCTGACCGTAAAGCTAAAGATGCGTTCATTTGATTATCTTTAGCTTTAGTCTGTCAATGTGGCCTAGTGTGAATGTTACAGCCACGGCAATACCCGCGACTGAAGGAGTACAAGCACATGCAGCAAGGGTTTTATTCACGGACGGAGAAGGCAAGAAACGTGAGTTTTAGAGATGCCAACGGCATACAGGTGCTGGCCAGTAAATTAGAATATCATCAAAAGGTTGAAAATATTTCAGTAATTCCATTCAAAACGTGAAACTTGTACATTATATTCATGCAATGCACACAGACCAATGTATTTCCAATGTTCATTACATTTAAATTTGATATTCATAAGTGACAACTAATGAAAACTCCAAATTTGGTATCTCAAAAAATTAGAATATTCTGAAAAGGCTGAATATAGAAGACACCTGCTGCCACTCTAATCAGCTGATTTACTCAAAACACCTGCAAAGGCCTTTAAAAGGTCCCTCAGTCTTGTTTTGAAGGCACCACAATCATGGGGAAGACTTCTGACTTAACAGCTGTCCAAAAGACAATCATTGACACCTTGCACAAGGAGGGCAAGACACAAAAGGTGATTGCTAAAGAAGCTGGCTGTTCGCAGAGCTCTGTGTCCAAGCACATTAACAGACAGGCGAAGGGACGGAAAAAATGTGGTAGAAAAAAGTGTACAAGCTCTAGGGATAACCGCACCCTGCAGAGAATTGTGACGACAAACCCATTCAAAAATGTGGGGGAGATCCACAAAGAGTGGACTGCAGCTGGAGTCAGCGCTTCAAGAACCACCACGAGGAGACTCATGAAAGACATGGGATTCAGGTGTCGCATTCCGTGTGTCAAGCCACTCTTGAACAAGAAACAGCGCAAGAAGCGTCTCGCCTGGGCCAAGGACAAAAAGGACTGGACTGATGCTGAGTGGTCCAAAGTTATGTTTTCTGATGAAAGCAAGTTCTGCATTTCCTTTGGAAATCAAGGACCCAGAGTCTGGAGGAAGAGCGGAGAAGCACAGAATCCACGTTGCATGAGGTCCAGTGTAAAGTTTCCACCGTCAGTGATGGTGTGGGGTGCCATGTCATCTGCCGGTGTTGGCCCACTCTGTTTCCTGAGGTCCAGGGTCAATGCAGCCGTCTACCAGGAAGTTTTAGAGCACTTCATGCTTCCTGCTGCTGACCAACTTTATGGGGATGCAGACTTCACCTTTCAACATGACTTGGCACCTGCACACAGTGCCAAAACCACCAGCACCTGGTTCAAGGACCATGGTATCCCTGTCCTTGATTGGCCAGCAAACTCGCCTGACCTTAACCCCATAGAAAATCTATGGGGTATTGTGAAGCGGAGGATGCAATACGCTAGACCCAACAATGCAGAGGAGCTGAAGACGACTATCAGAGCAACCTGGGCTCTCATAACACCTGAGCAGTGCCACAGACTGATCGAGTCCATGCCACGCCGCATTACTGCAGTTATTGAGGCAAAAGGAGCCCCGACTAAGTATTGAGTGCTATACATGCACATTCTTTTCATGTTCATTCTTTTCAGTTGGCCAACATTAGAGAAACAAACATTTTTTCATTGGCCTTTAGAATATTCTAATTTTCTGAGATACCAGATTTGATGTTTTCATTGGTTGTCACCTATAAATATCAAAATTAAACGTAATAAACATCGGAAATACATTGGTCTGTGTGCATTGCATGAATATAATGTACAAGTTTCACGTTTTGAATGGAATTACTGAAATATTTTCAACCTTTTGATGATATTCTAATTTACTGGCCAGCACCTGTAAAGAGGTGGATGGGGGACAAAGTTGTTCATGCTAAAAAGTCTCTGAAATGCATTAAAACAATGTAAACACATTGGTAAATACACTATTGTGGACCTGACATGTGACTGTAATGGTGGCAGGATACCTCAGAATAGTGCAACACCCTCTCTTGGCCTGGTCGGGAATTGTTTTGTAATAAACCCCAGCTGATGAAGAAGTCTGAGATGTTTAGATCAGCGCTCAGCAGGGACACTGAGAGGCTGCAGGCGCATCAGTGAGTTTGCGGCCGCTGCACAGGGGGAGGGGGGAGAGGGCTGAAGCAGCTGGGGATTTAAAAACCATTGCAAAGAGCCCTGATCGAGTTATGATCATAATTTCGCTGTGAAAACGTCATGATTCACAGGAGTCCATGTGTGGTCTAATCCGAGATGTAGATATAGTATATCCACACATTAAAGCTAATTGATGAGCAATTATTTGGCTCATTAATATGACAAGTAATTCACCTAATCCTAATTACTGTTGATGGATGTGAGGCACTTTAAAAGGACCCTGTGGAGATTTTTGTTTGCAGTCACTGAACAAGCACTGCATACATCCGTGAGGTCTAATTAGTCTTGCGTAGCCAGACTCCACAGTGATCCCCGCAGAGCTGAGTCAGCAGAGAGGATGGTCCAGCTGCAATAAGAGATGGAGCGGAGAGCCACATGTTTCTTCAAACAAGGAGTTTTCAAACATGGAAGTTTCAAATTGTAGCGTAGATAATCTACATACTAGAATTAATGCTGTTTGCTATCAGCTTTGTTAGATTCTGAGAAAGATCAAACAAGTTAGCAAATGCAGCTTATATCATATATAAATATCTAGGATATTAATATAATCGTGCCCTGCGATGGACTGACTCTCTGTCCAGGGTGTACCCCGCCTGATTGCCCGTTGACCGCTGGAGATAGGCACCAGCGTGCCCAACCCCCACGTGGACCCTGCATGGACAAAGCGGGTTCAGAAAATGGATGGATTAATTTAATCGATAGGAGTTCATACACCAACCTGCTTGGTCTATATTTAATCCAGAGATTAATATTTAATTTAACCCTTTGATGCATAACGGTCACTACAGTGGACAGGTACTTAAAATTGTTATTTATTTATTTTTGCTATTAAGCACAGCTGTTGAAGACTTTATTGCATTTGAACCCCTCCATTTGTACTTCAGTAAGTCAAGCCAACATATTTCATGTTCAGATTGCACGCTGTCCACTGAGGTGGACATGTAATAAATTATTTGTAAATTAAATTTTACAAAAAATATGTAAATATGAAAATTGTTTCATTCACACCTAAAGATGAATGAAAAAAAAATGTTTAAAAAAAATCATGGTTGAAGATTTCATAATTCATGAATCAAAGGGTTAAGAAATTTAATTAATAGCAAAAGTTTATTTATTAAACAGAAGACTTAATGGAATCTTTGCTTGTTCAATAACCAAATATACACCTTTCTGTGTTTCATTTCAAAGAAGTCAGGTTTAAAAAGTTAAGAATTTATCACTAACAAGTTAAAGATGACAATTTTTAACAGCTTTGATATTAAAACCTGGTGTTAAGAGCAACCCTGTGTCTGAATGGAAACTAAATTGAAATGTGTGTGTTGGCTGCGTGGATGAATCTCAGAAGATTTCTCTCAGAGAGAGAAACGCGTTCTGGGTGAAAGAGTTGTTTTGCAGCTAACTAAGTTGTTTCTTAGAGAGAACAGCATACAGACGCCATCTGTCGGAAGTGTCTACCTCACCCAGTCAGGAGACCCTCTTCTGGATCCGAGATGTCAGGTGGAGCTGATGACCTCGGAGCACGAGGTTGGTAGAAGAACCTTGGTGCGACCAAATCGGTCCTGAGCTGTCTCCGGGTCACAACGACTGATGAACTGGTTGCGTCTCAAAAATCAATAACTCTGAAGGAGTTTTGCGTCAGCAGGTGCAGGTGGCGTTTATTCGGAGCGATTCTATCGGCGTGACAGAACAGCTTAGGTGGAGGCTTCAGGGCGGCCGACCCTTATCCTCATGGACTCTCGTCACCACCGAGAGCTTTTGGTTGGTTCAGAACTGGACTTGAGCTGAGGAGTTTTTGTTTTATTAAAACCTCAGAACACGCCCTCTCAGAGATGGAAAGCTTTGGTTATGGAGCAAAGACTTGTGAGGTGGTTACCTTTACCCTGAATTCAGTTCTGCATGGTGTGTACACGTGGAAATGACCTTCTTCACACTGTTAAACATTACTGATCATCATAAACAATAATTATTATTAACCAAAGAATAATAAGTCATTTCAGTAATTAAATACATTTATAATGAACCACGATGATTATTTATGATGATTATTTATAAACCTTGTAATAAACAGTAAAAAGAATTTATTAAAAATTATAATTTTAAATCTTGAAGTGTCCTCCATCTTGGGACGGAACAGCAGACAGATAAAAGGCAGTCAGATTAAAGATGGTTTTCAGCAGACTGTGTCTGCTGTGATGGATAATCTGTGGGACAGAAGTTCAGCAGGACAGTGTGACCTAGCTGGGGAAGTGTGACCTTTGGGTCACAAAATGAGGCCATTCATGCCGCTACAAAATCTAATTTTCTACATATGCTTATGGTCCATAGATGGAAACAAATCTCTTTTAGTAAATATGTAAACGAGCAACAGCATGGTTGCTGTCCGCCTAGTGCCTACAGTCTTACTGGGACAAAGTACTTTTTTCCTATCCATCTCTGAAAGACATCGCTGTGGCAGCATCACATCACACCTCCTTCACTGAGTCTCTGATAATGACACAAGCAGAGGATGCTGGTGTCACCCTCTTGTGCCTTTTAGCTTTTAGCCGACTGTCTAATGTTGACTTGAAGCCAGGAAACTGAAACTGCATCATGTGGGATTCTCCCTCTAGATTGGGAATGAGTCTGCCTCAAAGGGAGGAGCTCAAGTATCTTGGTGACCTTTCCCCAAACGATGGTAGAATGGAGCATGAGATGAGCGATGGATCAGGGAGTCATTTGCGGGAATGAATGAATGAATGAATGAAAATGGAGTTGTTAAAAGACAAAACTCTCAATTTACTTTGTCTGTTTCCAACCCTCATCCTTTGGCCATAAGATGTGAATCATGACTCTTATTGTTACGGGATCCAGATAAATCTCCTTTCTTGTCTCGGTCATCTCCAGATAGTGGACTTTCTGGGTCCTTACTTCCAGGGGAGGAAGACTCGCAATATAACTCTGTTCCTGATCCTCTCCCAAAAACAAACATTATTCAGTATATTGGTTAAAGCATAGACACTGGTACAAATAACACACCTTGATCCCCTGAAGCCACCCTCAGCCTTAGCAACAAGGTTTGGAGTGCCGTCATCTGGGGAAGCTTGGAGTAGAGCCACTGCTCCTCTGCATCAAAAGTTGTTCCTGCTGAGGAGGATCTGGCATCTGATTAGGGTTTTTCCTGGCATGTCCAACTGGAAGGAGACCTTCAAGAAGCTCCAGAACTTACAGAAAAGGGATTATTTATGCTCTCTGGTCTTTGAATGCCTTGGCATTCCCCAGAGGGAGCTGGGATGCGTTACTGGGGAGAGCGATGTCTCGACTTCCTTCCTGGAGCAGTTTCCCCTGTGACCCAACCTTGGATGGATGGATGGATGGATGGATTATCCAGGAATTAGTGCAAAAATCTAAAATATGCTTTATTTTACTAATATAAAACACTTTAGTGAACATGGTAAACGCACAAGCTTGCTGTCCATGCTATCAGCTGCAGCTCTGCTCGAACCTGTGTTTTTCCTGGATGCTTAAAAAAGAACGACACCTCCATTCACACCTTTCTGATTTGTGACACATTTAGGCTCCTCCCCCACTTTTCTGCCATTCTCCAAGACTGGCAGATTAAAATCGGCCTCCACGTTAAACAGTGTCTGGTCAGGTCTTAGGAAGTGACAGAGTTGGCAAGTATTTAACTCCTCTGTCACAGCCGGTTTAATCCTCCTGCCTGTGAGCTCGGCCTTTCAGAGCAGCTCCAGATACGTCTGCTCCCTGATGTGGTTGGACAGCACATCAAGTCTTTGCCAGCCGCTCTGCCCTTTCCTGCTGTGTGTGGGCACATTTGATGGTTCCAGACACAAAGGAGGACAGCCTGATTCAGTAACACAATCTGCTGCTTAACAGGGGGTAATTGTTTAAATCAGCCTGTGTATGGACTTAAGAAGCAAAGAAAGGAAAGCGGGCTGTATTGCCAGTCAGTGACGGAAGGCGCCTGCCTGGCTCATCCTGCAGCAGAGCAGACACAGGAGGTTATTCTTCACATCCGAGTCCCAGAGCTCAGTGTGGTGCTGTAAAGCCAAAACAAAGATCTCAGTCCTGCCTCCAAAGGATGCAGCTTCTCCATTGTTTGTCTGTCAGCAGTCCCCACCCCAAATTCAGGATTCTGAGTATTAATGAGATTTAAACAGCATTTTAAACGGTCTGCACAAGTAAAGAAATGTGGTTTCTTACAGCATTCATGTGTCTTAGAACCTGTGTCTCAGGTGGCAGTGATGGTAATCCTCTCAGACGTGTCAGTGTATGTCTCATGTTTTATTTATATATATATATATATATATATATATATATATATATATATATATATATATATAGTCTGCTTTGATTAGGGTGCTAAATGACATTCTGGTGGCATCTGACTCTGGGTCTAGGGTACTGCTGCTCCAGCTAGACCTTTCAGCGGCTTTTGATACGGTCGATCTCCATATTTTACTGGATCGGCTTGGGTCTTGGGTTGGGGGTGACGGGGGTGGCGCATAAATGGTTCCGCTCCTACCTATCAAACCTTTCCATCTCTGTACAGATTGGTGACTGTGCATAGTCCTGTCTTCCACTGCCTTGGGGGGTGCCACAAGGTTCTGTTCTTGGGCCATTGCTGTTTTCTATCTACCTTCTGCCTCTGGGCAATATCCTGAATCAGCATGACCTGAGCTATCGCATTAACGCTGATGACTGTCAACTATACGTAGAAATGGATGAGGAAAATGCAGGCTCGAAATTGGCTGCATGTTTAGATGACGTGAAGGCCTGGCTGGCATCCAACTTCTTAAAGTTAAACGAAAAGAAGTCTGAGTTTATTGTTTTTGACCCCCGCAACCACCATGGCTCTCACACTGTTTGTGTCCTTTTAACCCTCAACCCCAAACAGTGTGTGACGAGTCTCGGGGTCGAGCTGGATGCTGAACTCACAATGGCCCCACAGATAAACTCCATAGTGAGGTCTTGCTTTTATCAGCTTTGCCGCCTTACTCGCCTCAGACGAATCCTGAAACGGAGGCAGTTGGAGTCAGTCATCCTTGCCTTCATTACCTCTCGCCTGGACTATGCAAGCGCCCTCCTCGTTGGTGTTCCGGTATCCGCCCTGAATCGGCTGCAGGTCGTCCAGAACGCTGCTGCCAGGTTCTTGACGAGTACACACCGACGTAGCCACGTTACCCCGTCCTAGCACGTCTTCACTGGCTCCCTGTCATTTTCAGAGTGCAGTTATACTGACCTTTGTATTTAAAGCTCTCAATAACCTGGCACCTCCCTATCTCTCTGACCTGCTCACTCCATATGTGCCCACGCGCACGTTGAGGTCGGCTGACCTTTTGCTGCTGCACACGCCGCGGATGCGATTCAAATCGCGGGGTGAACGAGCATTTGTCCATGCTGCCCCAAAGCTATGGAACTCATTGCCCATTGGAGTTCGGCGGGCTCCATCTCTGGCGGTGTTTCAATCTCGTTTAAAGACCCGCTTTTACGCTTTGGCTTTTAGACAGTGACTCGTTTTAGTGTTTTATTGTATGATTGTTTTAATGTGTTCTTAGTATTCATCATGTTTTATCTGCATTTGATTGGGATTTTTATCCTCAGTTTTAGTTCTTTCGAATGGTTGTGTTTTGTTTTAGCCTGTGCAGCACTTTGGGCAGCTCCCATGCTGCGTTTTAAATGTGCTGTATAAATAAACTATGCTATGCTATGCTATATATATAAATATATATATATATAATTTACAAAAAGTGCCCCCAGTCCTGTATGCTTACTGTGAGAATTAATTAGGGTGTCGGTATGTTTTATTTTTATACAATGTGATTAAATGACCTGAAATAAGGAAAGGCTTAACATAGGCTTGTACGGTAAGAGGTTCTTTTAAGAAGAGTTAGAAAATTGAAGTATTTTCCCTAATTTACAAGATTTAGGTTGTGTGTCTTTTTTTGTTCTAATTTAAAGCCAGTGTAATATATCCCAGTGAATCCATCTATAGTTGTATTTTTTGTTTTTATTATAGCTTAGATCTTTTCATTTGAGCTTTATTTCAAATGATTTTCATGTCCAGTCTGGTTTATTTAGGGGGAGAAATGGTCCTGTCGTTCTAACGTAGAAGACTAGAGCAAAGGAACTTCTTCATGGACAGAATGCATGAAAGTTGATGCTGGGCTCTAATCAAACCAGTACTTCACTTTTGGCTCCAAATCATCACTAAAATAACGTGATCAACAAACAAAAAAAGGAAAAATATCGTTAAAGGGATTTTATCACAGTCCTCTTGGCTAAGATACATTTTTTCTTGTCTTCCAAATAGCCTGCCAGCAGCTAATGATGCACATCACACATTCATATTGGTTCATGCTCTGTGGTGAAACATGCTGGATAGTGGATGTAGAAGACGAGGGTTGGACACCACTCCATATACAGAAATCCAGTCATGGATTCTCTGTGAGCAGGGCCTTTCTACGTCATTTTAACACATAACTTGGTTTCACCTAAATATTTAGTGGTGTCAGTCAGGAATAAGAAACTAGAAATAAAAGATGGCTCTGTTAAAACTCTGTATTGATATTTATATCCGTCTAAGGGTAAATAAATAATAGATTGTTGTCTATGATTATGTAACAAAGAGTTCTGTTTACTGTGTTCCAGCTGTTTCGGCGTGTTGCAGCGGCTCTGCCAGGGATGGAGCGTATGCAAGAAACAAGCAAAGAAGGCAGTATCCTTTGTCCATCCTACATTATGAGAGTGTTTTGCTAAAATCGTAGTAACCGCCTCAGTTCAATGGTTATACGTTTATAATGATCGTCTTTTCAAAGTAAATGAACTGTCAGAGTGGGATCTGCAGGCTGTCAGCCACCTGTCTAGTGGAGAAACTCCATGACCAGCTTCTGATGTCTGCCTTGTTCAGACGGACTCCATCTGCACTTTAGTCCCCAGACTACGGCCTGTTTGCTTATTAAAACCAACAACAGAGTATAAAGCTGTCCGACGGAGCTTCTGCAGCATGAAACGCTCGTCAGCGACACCTTCTTCTGTCCCCTGAGGGACTAGGCTTCACCTGCAGAAGCTTTTCAGGTGCTGCTGCATGGCCAGAGTAAACCGCCACTCTTTAAGGTGTAGGACTAGATCTTTATCTGACATGTTGTGGATGGCTCTGTTCAGTGTGTTTCATGTGAAGTTACACCGTGGTTTCACAGCGGTACGGTCTGCGGGATAGTAGTATTCTTACGGTTTCCTTCAGATTTTTGACTTGTTAAAAATAATTTTGTCATAAAGAGGAAGACCGCTGAAACCAAAGATTTATAACCTCACGGTGACCTTAGAGAATCGATGCGTCACCCTTATATAGGACTGTGTTGTCAACAAGCATGTAGTCCTCTAGGTTGGCCAGGGTTCGCCCACTCAGAGGAATATACACGTCTGTGATGCTTAAAGGCACTGATGATGTTCCTCTGCCGCTTCCACAGGATTATTTATACGGCACGCTGAGGACACTTTAACATCTCTGATCACTTTCATCCTGCGACTGTTTGTCCCTCGGAAGCAGCAGTCCTTCATATCCTCCTCAGCTCCGGAGAGCGGAGCTCCATCTCTATGGAAACTGTAGATGAGTTAGAAAATTGCTTTTGGTTCGACCATGTGCACACAGCTCTGTCATCACGGCGTCTCTGGGGGTCCTGGGGAACGCAACCGCGTCCATCGCACTTAAGTAGAGCCGAGGAATGCTGCTGCTCAGCCCGGGCCGTAGCCTGAACATTATTATTATTATTATTATTATTATTATTATTATTTTTATTATTATTATTATTATTACTACCATCTTCTTCAGATCACTTTTAGCTGGTTGTATCTGCTTTTTGTCTCTTCTTTTGATCCGGCATAATGGATGTGGGGGAGCTGTATGGTGGAGGTGCAGTGATGGGTGGATGAAGGCTGATGATGCTTCCTCAGCTGCTGACACATCACTGAGGGCATGTTGCTCTCTTTGGGACGCAGAAGTAGTTTGTGTGCATCATACCGCTACGATGCGGTGAAAAAGAAGTGGTTTTCCAATTATTTATTTTATTACAGGAAAAACTCAACCGACGTGACTGTGTGAAAATGTAATTGAGCTTCTTTTTCTAAATCATGAGCTCATTGTGATTAACCACGTTACTAAAAGCTGTTCCCCTAGCCTCACCCAGACAGGATTACTACCAGACCTGCAGAGTGTAGAAATCTATAGAAGTGGCCTGGCAGCATGCCGTGGGCCAAAAGATGTCAGAAAGCAACTCCTCCTGCCCTGATCTAATGAAATTAACAAAGGGATGTGTGAAGGCAAGCTTTGTTTCCTTAAAAACCTTTCACTTCTGTGAATGCTTTTGACCATTGGTACGTTACTCTCCTCATCCGAGAAGTTCAGTTGCCTTCATTCGGCCGTGACCTGGGAGGCTGAGAACACTCGCCAGATGTGTGTGAAAACATCACGAAGGCCCATCTCACTTTTCCAAAAACAGACTTGTGACAGAAAGTCTATTATATTATATTATATTATATTATATTATAGTATAATATATTATAGTATAGTATATTATAGTATATTATATTATAGTTTATTATAGTATGTTGTATTATAGTATATTATATTATAGTATATTATATTGTATTATATTTATTATAGTATAGTATATTATAGTTTATTATATATATAATATTATAGTATAGTATATTATAGTATATTATAGTATAGTATAGTATATTATAGTTTATTATATTATATTATAGTATATTATATTATAGTATATTATATTGTATTATATTATATTATAGTATATTATATTATAGTATATTATATTATAGTATATTATATTATAGTTTATTATAGTATAGTATGTTATAGTATAGTATATTATAGTATATTATATTGTATTATATTATAGTATATTATGTTATAGTATATTATATTATAGTTTATTATAGTATATTATATTATAGTATATTATAGTATAGTATATTATATTATAGTATATTATAGTATAGTATATTATATTATAGTATATTATATTGTATTATATTTTATTATAGTATGGTATATTATAGTTTATTATATAATATATAATATTATAGTATAGTATGTTATAGTATAGTATATTATATTATACTTTATTATAGTATATTATAGTATATATTATAGTATATTATAGTATATTATATTGTATTATATTATATTATAGTCTATTATATTATATTATAGTATATTATTTTATAGTATATTATAGTATATAATATTATAGTATATTATTTTATAGTGTATTATAGTATATAATATTATAGTATATTATGTTATAGTATATTATATTATAGTTTATTATAGTATATTGTATTATAGTATATTATATTGTATTATTTTATAGTATATTATAGTATATAATATTATAGTATATTATGTTATAGTATATTATATTATATTATATTATAGTATATTATATTATAGTATATTATTTTATAGTATATTATAGTATATAATATTATAGTATATTATTTTATAGTATATTATAGTATATAATATTATAGTATATTATGTTATAGTATATTATATTATAGTTTATTATAGTATATTATATTGTAATATTTTATTATAGTATGGTATATTATAGTTTATTATATAATATTATAGTATAGTATGTTATAGTATAGTATATTATATTATACTTTATTATAGTATATTATAGTATATATTATAGTATATTATATTGTATTATATTATATTATAGTCTATTATATTATAGTATATTATATTATAGTATATTATTTTATAGTATATTATAGTATATAATATTATAGTATATTATTTTATAGTGTATTATAGTATATAATATTATAGTATATTATGTTATAGTTTATTATAGTATATTGTATTATAGTATATTATTGTATTATATTATAGTATATTATATTATAGTATATTATAGTATATTATAGTATATAATATTATAGTATATTATGTTATAGTATATTATATTATAGTTTATTATAGTATATTATATTGTATTATATTATATTATAGTATATTATTTTATAGTATATTATAGTATATAATATTATAGTATATTATTTTATAGTATATTATAGTATATAATATTATAGTATATTATGTTATAGTATATTATATTATTGTTTATTATAGTATATTGTATTATAGTATATTATATTGTATTATAGTATATTATATTATATTATAGTATAGTATATTATATTATTTTATATTATATTATTAAAATATTCTGTGGAGTGGGACAGGAGTTGTTTGGTGATGTTTGCAGCTGACCAAAGCTTCCGAGCTCTCTGGACAGGAGCCAGTCTACATGGCTCGTGCTAAAAAACGGTGCCCTTCAAATGGCTTTGTGTCACGCTGGAGTGTTACCGTTACACATGAAAAAACACTGATCCTGGAGCATTTAGAGCCTCACTGGGGTTGTTTTAGACACATTTACAGACTGCATGTAGGCCACGCTTTCTGTACTCCCTTAAACACCTGCTGCTGCTGCCGTATACACCACCAGGTCAGTATGGAGACACTCTGCTTGTTCTGGTGATGTGGAACAAAACAACATTTAAAATGACTCCCTGAAGGTTCTGCTGGGTTAAACGGTGATTCTGACCCAGTGTGCGGTACCGCAGCAGTTTTAACTCGTTCGCAGCAGCACCAGCATTTGTACTGGTTATTAATCATTTCATAAACTATTAAATACCACCTACACACATTGTCAGGAGCCTTTTTATGGATAGACATGCTTGAATTTAAACCGATAAACTACTTGAAGAGGAAATTTGTGGATTTATTGAAGGTTTTGATAACTAGTCAAGTGATGATACTTTACATTACCACCATCTAGTGGTGGTGATGTGGTACTACAGCCTGTCACGAATCAGTCTTTCTAGCATATTTTTTGCATCATTTTTCTGTTTGTGACTCTTTTTTTCAGCACACGCGCCTGTAGCGTCCTTAACATTGTCCTCCAGTGATTGACATCAAGCTGGACAAACCGCAGGAGCCCCAGACCACCGAGGGCGGCTGCTCCTGTTAATGCCCACTGTCCGTCCTGGAATACCATCCACGTGTCACACGCTTATTATGTTGCTTGCCATTGGTTAACCTGCTGTTGACTTTGCACGTTCAGATCCTGGTTTCCTATTCCAACCACAAAAACGATTGGTTGGAATCAGCAATATGTGAAATTGGGTCTCCTTTGTCAACAAAACTGCCAAAAAAGTCTAAAATATAAAAACATCTGCCCCAAGTCTCATCTGAGTATACATTTATATGTAGAAAAGAAAAGTTTGTTTCTTTGTTTTGTATTTTCAGGAAAATCTTTGTTTTTTCCTCCTTTTTTTAAAGAAACATGCAAGTTTGCTCTGGAATTGAGAGCTAACATGCAGACAGGACAAGAGCAGCAGCAGAAATCGTGCTCCTGTCATTTCTTCCGTCTCTATCGGATCTATACTTCACTTTTCAACCTTTCCAAGCCAATCGCAGCGTTCCTGCCTGTAGCTCCGCTGGTACTGTTTCTGTTTGAGACGTTGCGGAACAAAGTGAGCTGTAACATCCAGAGTATCTAATGCATGCTAGTTGTGAAGCACAGGTGCTGCCTACCTGTGTACATGAGTAAAAAAACAAACACAATTGTTAATATTCCACCAGTGAGTTGATGCACTCTCTGCAGTTTCTGTTTACATGACTTGAGAACATTGTTTTGCTGTGTGTGTACTTTTGTGCTTTCTGTACAGACAGCGTTCGAATGCCGTTCCACTGAGGGCCACTGCCACACCGCGTCATCCTCGCATCACAGCGCTTTGTAGGACACCTCCAGTCGGGAGGATGTCAGGTTTTCTCCGGCTGCTGTGGTTAATCTGGTAGTTTTTTGTGTCGGAGAAACGTGGACCCAAAGTTCTCTGTGTGGTGGTCAGACAGACCCTTAGTATGGTAAACATCTCGTTTCCTGACTAAAGACGAATTTGCACATGTAGACCTTTCAGGTTGTTCTGAAATGGAGAGAAGCTTCGTTAGAATTGTACAGTCGCTTCATTCAAAGACACGTGTGATTGTTAGAGAAACTCTTAGTCTGTTTTCATTCTTTTCTTCTTTTTTTTACTGCTGCTTGTGTTTTTAAACGGACTACTGAAGTTGATGTTTTTGGAATTGTGCTTTCTGCTCTCCCTCTCCAACGTTCTGGTGGTGAAGTCAGCCAGAGTTAAGAACACTACTGAGATTTAACTCGTCTTTGTTGTGAAAACTTTATTGCACTTTTTAAGAACACGGTTTAGATTCGGAGTGAAAGAAACTAATAAAATAATTCTGCTCCAGAGAATCAGGAAATTCTTGAAGTAGAAGACGTGCTCATGAAGGAAGCACGATGGGGAAACGTGGTGATAAAGAGACGGGTTTGGTTTAATAAGTCATCTTCAGCATAAAACGGGATGAAGTTCACTTCCCTCAGCTACCTACCTGTACATCATAAGACCTTTGGTTTCTCAGAAACCTTCAGCTCTCCTCACCACACAACCTCTTACGGAGTTATTTTTGAAGGAGATATTTGTTTTGTTCTATTAAAGCATAAAATGGTTCATCTTTCTATGGAAACTGCGTTGTACTTGAAGCTCCTAAAGCGGAAGAGTCCACCTGATGGCCCATTTTAACTTTCCATGGAAACTGACCAAGTCATCCTAGTCTGTGTGTAGGAGGATACCACGCCTTGCAGGTGTGTGTGTGTGTGTGTACAGTCACAGTTTAGTGCAGCAGACCTGGGTCTTCATCCACACTACAGAGATCTAGCATGTCTCTCCAAATGATTAATAAACCTCTTATTACCAAAGTTATGCACGAGCCTTTTGTGTTTATTGTAATTCTCACACTCTCCTGCTGCTCTGAGGCCTTTTACACACACAGTTCTTTGCTGTGTTGTTGGATTTTGTTGGTTTGTGGGTGCAGACTGTAGAGCTTCACGTAATAACTCGATTAGATGTAATCTCCACAAAGGGAACCGTAATCCTAGTTCCAGTCCAGAACCTTTGGTACGTGGTGGAGCGGGAGATTCCCATCGTGGGTGGTGCTGGTGATGATGCTGTCCTGTTGATATGGACCGGAACCTCTGAGGAATTTTTAACTGTAGAAACTACGGGGTGAAGAATTAAGGCAGGTATGAAGGTAAACGTGGTTCCAGCCTGGTAAACCTGCAGGTAGTGTGGAGCTTCGGTTCTGACCCAACTGCCTGTATTCTCGGCTTTATTCAAAAGCAGGATGGAAGAGCCAAATGTTCCCCCTCACACTGGCCAGGCCTGGATTAACGCCTAAATGGGAGAATTGGGTCACTGTGTTTTAATGGTCCACCGAATCAGCAATCCAGTATGGCCCCCCATGGAATATTTGGAATGGTGTTGATTAGATGACCACCACACCCTCTTGAATCTTATCACGATTGCCTCACAACAGAGACTAACGACCATGACGGCTCATCAGGAGGTAGGGAGGAGGGGTATTCATAGGCAGTTTCTGCTCATTAGGCAACAATATACATATACAGTTTATAAGCTTGTCTCCCATATTCCAGTCAGAATTGACAAAGCTGCTCGGATGAGAAGCAAAACGTCTTCAAGAAACCAAAGAAGTCCAGGCACCTTCATTCAAATCTGTTTGGATTATCATGACCTGGATGACTGAGAACCTTCACCGGCACAAAAATGACTGTTTGAAATTTCATCATTTTTCTGAAATGTTTGTTTCTCAGATTTGATGCAACTGTTGGACGCGAAGGCTTTTTAAATGAAAAAGAACAAACAATCAGTGCAACGCAGAGAGGCTAATCTCTCCCAGCTTTACCACAGGGGCCAGTCTGATGTGCCATCTCAACATTTCATTGGCCTCAGCTCTGAATTTTGCACTCCAACAATATGCAAATGTGTTATAGATGCTAAACCTTTTTTGCTGAGGTCTTTCACATGTTGAGGTCAGAATGATGGCAGCCACTGTAATGTGATTTTGGTAGAAATCAGGTCTCACACTCGACCTCCTGAGACCTGAACCTGGATTTGAAGTGATTTAAAAGAAAAGAAATACATCTAACTGTTACTCTCATTAACAGAAACAAAAATACAAATATTAAAATAAAATGAAAGTTAAATTTGTCGCATTTCCTATGAAAAATAAAACAAAAAACGTTAAAAGTCAATATCAATATCATGTGTCAATAAATAAAAAGGTCTAAGATGAAGATGATAAAATTTTAAAAGTGCAAGGAGCCAATGTCCACATATGTGGACACGGCCCAAGGAGATTAAAGAGAAAACGTCGTTTTTACCATTAATTTCTGGAAAGATCCATCAAAGTGTTGTTGAAAATGAATGAAATGATGCCTAGTTGTTGGAAAATATTGGCGGCTTTGTAAGATAAAACCAGAAAAATCAGGTCTAAAATTCATCAGCGCAGGTCTAAACCAGTTTCCACCTACAGGAGCCCGTGAGGACAAAATGCATTTACTGCTTTGTAACAGAAACAGTTACAAAACTTAAATCATTCTTAAACGTTGTTGTTTTACACATTAACCTCTTCACTTGTTGCCAGTGATGAAAGGGAGTCTGATGTGCTCGTTATTTCGCTGAAGTTTGCACTTCTCTGGGCTTTTTGACCCTAGTTGGCATCCATTGAGGTCTTACTCAACACAAAAATACTGCTAGCTTGTAACTACTTAGGTATCTACTGCCCCCTATCGCCAGGAAAAATACACACTTGCCACTTTGAGGACGAAAACGCGGCTACTTTGAGTGTCAAAATAAAAGACTGTAAAACCAAGATATCTGTTCAGTCTGGCCGTCTGGGTTACACTTTTATGTTTAGCCAGGCGGTCACAGACTCATTTGTTTACGTGAAGATGGCATTGCAGTTATTTCCAGCCACTAGAATCATGAAAGCATCTAAAGTTTCAATCAAAATGTATTTTTGAAGCAGATCAATTACTTATAACCATTGTGTTTTACCATCTGTCCAGAATTCAGCTGGTCCTTCTCATCCATTCTCTTAAAATAAAAATAACAGCTCACCCTTTCAACTCTGGGACACGAATAAAAACAAACTACTTCAGCAGCACTGGATTTAATTAAATGGATTAGTTTTCATAGAGTTTGAATAGATTTTATTATCTAATGACACAAATATGTTAAATATTGCAGAGGAAGAAACAGATTTGCACAGGAATGTGTTTTTGCTTAATGTAGTTGATCTGGGGAAACATAATTGCACCATATGCTGGTTATTGCTGCTGGGATGTGTCGTTATTCTATACCGCCCTGGTTTTACAGATGACAAACAACCACAGATGTTACAAAATTCAGTTTCATATGAGCTGGGCTTCACAAGAATATCAACTTCAACTTGTATTCATAGCATTCACAAATGCTGTTTTATGTTTTCATTTAAAAACGCATGTATGTGTGTTTCGGGGGGCAAAACTACTTTTATTTTAAAGAATTAATGATAATCTTCTGAAAGCAAGATCATTAATTACAGATTTAACATAGACTACCGTGCTAATGACTTCCAGCCCTGCCTAGCCTCACTGGGAGCTGCATCCTCCTGTGTCCCACTTTCATCCCCGTGATTAGCACTTGGAGGACCAGATGATGAGTCAGCAAATGAATTGCAAAATTGAAACTGGTTCTTTGGCATTTCCACAACCCCACTTGTTCCCTGCAGGGTAACGGCCTTGCTGCTAACCAGCCCAGACAGGGAAGCATACAGCCAGCAAACCCAAGGCTGTGCATGTTTAGAGTTTGGACTGAGCTTCTTGACTGACTAAACACACAGATGTAACCCCAAATGTCAGTCAAACAACACGAAACTGAACAGAACAGAAATTTTATGTAAGAAAAATAACTCATGGCAGTCAGACATTGTTGAGTTGATAATAATAATAATAACAATGATAATAAACAATCAAACTGATCTGGACAAAAACATGTTTACCCTAGAAACAAAAACTGTGTGAAACTAAGGTGTGTCCTGTAATCAGCATCACAGGTGTCTTCAGTCTTGTAATCAGTCTGCCTGTTAGAAGGGTGAAAAGTAGTCACAGTGCTGTTTGGTATCAGGGTGTGTTCTACATTGGGCGTGGACCACAGAAAGCACCGGACAGAGTCGTCTTGGAAGATTAAAAAACAATTATCATGCGCAGCAGAAGTGGACACCAACGCTGAAAACAAACACATCCACCTAAGTGCAGGTTAACCCACAAAGCTTCTGGGAGCAGGTCCTTTGGAAAAATAGAAACTTCCAAAGCTGAAGCTTCCTGGTCAATCACACCAGCTCAATGTTGACAGGCACAAACCTGAAGATGAGAGTTAAAAGACCCGCTGGGAAACATTCAAGAGGTTCACTTCTGCTCTGGGGCTGCATCTGATGCAGGATCTGCTCAGGGACCAGTGTTCAGCCCCGTGTTCCCAGTGGTCTCAGTTCCCAGTCACGATTCCTCAGGCGGGATCAGGACCAAACACTAGACCACTCTCAAGCGTCCCTCTGCGAACCTGGCAGATGTTCCTGTTGAACATCTGGAGAAGGAACCCTGCGACAGCGGGAGCAGTTTGCTCACGAGGAGTGGATCTGAATACCTGTGGACAGGTGCAGAAATCCCTGATTGCCTCAAAAGGTTGAGCAACGTAATGTTAAGTAAAATGTTCCACCATTCTTTGGTCCAGGGCTTATTATTATTATTATTATTATTATTATTATTATTATGAGCCACAATTGAAAAGCAATGTTGGATTTTTAATCATTACTTTGTCAGTTCAGATTAACACGAGTGACCCTTGTTTCCCGTCTACCAGTACGGTACCACATCGGACTGTGGGAGTGTTTGGGAAGGAGGCTTTCCGATGTTCACCAAACCAGCGGGACAACTAACGGACTCATTAAAACAACAGACTCCTCACATTCATGTTCAAACATGGCTTTGGAGCAGGAATTAAATCTCTCACAACCGTTTTTTTTCTTTTAGATCAAGAAAACAAAACAGAAGTCTTTTGTTTGAAAGCGATGATCCCGTTTTCTGATACAGCTCAACGTAGGATATTTGCCAGATGCTTGATAAATGGAGATTATAATCCACTTTCATGGCTGACTGAAGCTTTTTGTGGCAAGTTTTTGTTTTCTGCCCGGTCCACAGATGTGATCTTCACATTATCATACTTAGACCCCCCCCCCCAACTGGCTTCACTTTTTACAGTTATTTAAACGTTTTCTTGTCATCAACAACATGAAGTAGGCAAGTCGTCACCTTAAGCTGCCCAGTGAGATGAGAATTACATTTAAAAAGTAAAAACAGATTTTCAAAAAGAGTAGAATTAGAGCCGTCATAAATAAAGCATAAGTGCATTGTTAGGTGGTGAAGAGGAGGACACCATCTGTTCTGAGGGGGTCTCGGGGTGTTAGCCCCACGGAGACAGCTGAACTAAATCCCACAGCACCAGCTGGAAGGATTAATCCTAGCAAATACACGGGGGAGAGGGCACCGATCAACTGACCCAACTTTCCTTACACCGTCATAGTTCAGTCTGGTCGTTCAGCGATTTCAGACAATCCCGTGGGCTGCTGCTCTTCATCCTCTTGTCTCGTGAGCTGAAAGTCTGCGCCATGATTTCATTTCCCTTCGAAAAAGAGGAAAAGTGTGCGGGTGAGATATGAGGTTTGACTGGTTCCTGCTCTAAAAGTAACCGAACACACACACTCACACATTGCTACCGGGGATGATCCTTTCCTGGTGCTGCCTGGTCAGGCTGAACCTCCTGAAGAACAGCTTGAACTTAGTGGTGCCAGACCTGTAGGAGATGCTGTGAAGGTAAACAGAGGCAGAACACCAGGTGCTAATGAGAAGTTTGTGGACAAACTAGCTGCCTCACACAGATGTGTCACTGCTTTGGTGAGTTTGGAATTTGACTGTGGAGTGTTTTGAAAGCAGCTGTCCCCTATTTGAACTTTTGAGTCAAAACACAACAGGACTTGAAATTCAAGATTCCAGGTGACAGAAATAGATGTTTTTAGGTGGGCTGTTGTTTCCATTCATGAACTCACCGTTGTGCATGTGATGAGGGCTGTAGTTTCGCCTCCATCCTCCCCTCCTCGGCTCTATGCCTCTGTTCATCCTCCTCCAATGCCGCTGACTCCACGTCCTCCTGGATCTGCTCCCAGAGCTTGTTGTTGACCCACAGGGCTTCCTGGAGGCTGAGTCCTCGGCCCACGCAGGTCACCCTGCGACACAGAGGGCAGGGCACAGTGAGGAGCCCGCTCCTGACCCGCGACATGGTGTCCAGGCACGGGTCACAGAAAGTGTGCCTGCAGTGAAGCACTCGTGGGATCTTGTCCATGCGGGAATATGGCAAGAGGCAGACGCTGCACTCTCCATCGTCGCACAAAACCATCGTCAAGCTGGTAGACCCCAGAAGATTACAAAAAAAAGAGTCCTCTGAGATGATCCGAGTGAGTTCCGATCTAAAAGTCTGTCGATAGGAAAGATGTCAGAGCTGATGTCAAAGTTCCAACGCTGTCTGTCTTTCAATCAAATATCTTCAGTATTAGAAACCGTTTTAAAAGGGAAGAATTTGTTTAGAACCAAATTCTATGTTCATTTCAAATACCATCAAAATGAATCACTTAAATCCTAAAGTTGGATGCTGTTGGTTTTTTTATAAGCTTGAGTGAAACACAAAACAGCCATGGTCAGATAATAGTTTGTAATAAAACAGATTACTTACAGGTGATGTGTGTATCTGCGGTGTTTTCTTTTAGGTTTGTGCAGCTCGGTGTCTGTGCTGTGAATGATGTCAGAGAGCAGCTTGCCTGCCTCCTGCTAGAGCGTCTGTTGCGTTGGTGGGGGCGAAACAGCCAAAAGCCCTCCCATGAACAGCTGGGGATGCAGAGCGGAGGAAACGCTCTTTGTTTAGTTTGAATGAAGGCAGGTGGAGAGATGGGTGAGGAAGGGGGAGTGGTAAAGGAGGGGTTGATGAACGTTCCAAAGTAGGTGATGTGTTTTGCTTTTTCCTTAACCATAACACATCCTGATAAAATGTTTCTCAAAAGACATATAAAGAAAAATTAGCATATCTGGGAATTGAACCCGGAGTCTCTCGCATTCAATATGAGAATCATACCCCTCTACCAACAAAATGCTGATGTGTTAAAGGAACATATGTATATTGTAGGTAATAAATGTTTCATGTTTTCTTGACATTTGTGCTGTTGAAGCATCGGTTCACGATGACACCTTGCTCGCGGGATTGCGGTAAAAACGGAAAAGCTATCATGATATCCCTCTTCCCTAGCCATGGCCAAGCAGATAATTTATACAACACTCACGCAGCGACACAGCGACCAATATGTTCGGACAGCAGACCGCCGAATTTTCAAATCACATTCTAAATGACCATGCGGAAAAATTATGGGCTCGTCCGGGATTTGAACCCGGGACCTCTCGCACCCGAAGCGAGAATCATACCCCTAGACCAACGAGCCACGTGTCCGGGAAAGACACATAAAATAATTTAAAGTAACATGTAGTTTTTCTGTAAATGTACTGTTTTAAAAGTATTATTGTATTTTTACACACTATAATAGAATGTCTAATTTCATGGAATTTCAGACGTACCTTCACGTTACACGACATCTGAACCTTAAGCCGTGAGATAAATGTGTTTGTTTTTTCTTTAATTTTCCCTCCCAAACCTTATTTTTAAAGTCGAAGACCAAATAATAAATTACATTTTTTAAAATGTTGCCTACGTAAAACGTAATGAGGTCACAGTTAGAAGGCGGATGTACCGCCTTGGAACCGGAAATTCTTTGTAAAGAAAAGCAGTTGAACGCCGAATAGTGTTGTTGACGTAGCGATGTCATCAAACTTGTTTATACTCTACAACGTGCCAGTCTTAGCTTGTAAGGACAATCTGGATAGAGTCCACCGTGTTGTAGCACCTTAGCGCGCAGAGGGGACAGACGGCGCCATTTTTGAACGAGATGGAGGTTTCTTTGGAATCAATACAGAATCCTGATATAAGGTAACAGACGTTTGGTTTATCGTGAGGCTAAGTCAGCCATCTTTAGATGCGTGTTTACACAAATGAAGTTGATAACACGCTTTAATCTTCTGCTACGCAGCTCTGTCCTGTCCTCATGCGAGCCTGAGCTGCAGGAGCTGATGAGACAGATTGACATTATGATCAATCATCAGAAGAGGGAGTGGGAGGCTGAGCTCCACGCTCTGCAGCTCAGGGTCACCAGTGGAGAAGAAGAGCTTTTAACCTCCAAGACTACCATTGAACGGAGGGATCTGGAGGTGAAGTGACGATTCATCCTTTTTTGCTCAAAAGAATCACAAAAGTAATTTAATCAACACAGAAGCTTGTAATAAAAAAGCAAGCATGCCCTTATTTTGACATGCAGCATTTTGAAGGTAACATTTTTCCATCCCATTTCCAATTCCAAACATGGACTCTCCTGCTAAAACAGTTTTTATGGCCACTGTCTCCATTTCTGGCCTCACCTAATGTTGGAGACTTACTAAATTATTCCTTAAATGATCAGAAAGCCTCTGCTATGAAGATTTGTTGTACTCTCAAAACAAAACCTCCTGCAGATTCAATTAAATGTTTCAAAAATAAATGTAAATGTGTGAGGATGTTGGTTTTAGGACATGTTTTAAACCGTAAGGAGACAGTAAATAGTTGTGGCATGAAGCATTTTATCTCTATTCCCATAATAACACCATCACCTATTGTTGCAGATTGGACTTCTTCACAAGCAGCTTGAAGCCATTCAGACGGATCGGCAAGAGTTGGTATCCAAGTACGAACAACAACTAAAGAGACTCCGTGAAGAGGTGTGATCATCTGTTTTTCCTCAAATGCACTCAGCTATATCGCTTGTATCATGTTTATTGTTAACATCGTTTCTTATAGTTGGACAAGTTGAAGAGAAGTTACCAGAAGCTTCATCGCAAACAGCTTAAGGAGACAAGTGGAGGTGGAAAGGAGACTGAGCTTGCAAAGGTGAACTAATAGATTTTCCTGGCATTTCCATCTCCTGGAATTTGATTAATCGTTCTTACATTGGTGCAGAAGCATCAGCAGCGCTCTGAGCAGCAGCGAACTCTGTACCAAAACCAGCTGACCACACTGGAGCTCCAGAATAAAAGCCTGAACCAGGAGCTTGCTCACTTAAAGGTTAAAAAGCACATTTATGACTTTCACTCAGGAAGCCAGACATATTTAGTGTATAAAAGTGTGGAAGACTGCTGCATTGTTGTTGCATTTCAGTAATATTTGTTTTTCCAGAGCCAATGGGCATCGGGGCGGGTGGAGAGGGAACACAAGGAGTGCTGTTCAGATGTGCAGCATCTGCGTGCACAGCTGGAGAAGGCTCAGGCCAGCCTGCACTCACAGGAACTGGAACTGGATCGCCTCAGACCGCTGGAGGTGCTGTTGGGACAGTCCCAGAGAGAGCAGCAGGTTAGCAGGGCGACAGGAACATGTGAGATGTGTGGCTTCTCAGCTGGATACCAAACATCTTCCATCAGATTCCAGGTGTTTGTAACAACTCTGGAGATAAAAGTCTCACTGTTTGGACTCCAAAGGTCTTCTAAAGTTTGGACAAATTTCATTTAGGCTTTTATTACAGCTTCCATCCAATCACGTCATTAAAGCTGCAGGAAAAGAGCCGTAAATACTTGAGCTGAAAGAAAAAAAAAGTCAAACAAATTAATTGAAAGAGCTGATCACTTCAGGCGGCCATGTTGAAATGAGCTCTAATGAGCTAGGAATCTGCTGCTCCACAGTTGCCGTCGGGGCAACGAGACAACCTCCACGCCGTGCTAGACTCCCGGGATGCCTTTATGCTCAGAGCCGATCTTGAGCAGCAGAGATTGTGTGAGGAAGCTGCTCGACTCACGCAAGTGCTGCAAGCTAAAGATCAAGTCATCCGGTGGGTGCTTCTCTGATGGTAGTCATGTCATTACAGCGGCATGTTGCAAGGGTGGCGTTCCCTACTGGCTTTCCCGGTTCTGGTTCTGCTTTCGTTATGCATGTGAGCGTGTTGTTGTGTCTGCAGCTCTCTGGAGGACTGTCTGTCAGCTCAGGGCTGTGCCGGTGTGGAAACTCTCAGGAAGGCTCTGGAGAGGACTACAGCCAAGCTTCAGAGTGCTCAGGTCTGTGAGCTCCAGCTGAAGGCGGAGCTCTCCTGTGTCAGAGAAAGGTGGCTGCTGCTTTCACGCTCACCCAATCAAACCAAGCCGGGTTTATTCTGAGCTCTGAATGTTTCTACCTGCTCGTTTTCCTCGTTTGGGCTCAGGTTGGAGAACATGAGCAGACAGCAGGACAACGCTTCAAAGATGGAGCAGGAACTGAAAAATGTGAAAGTGCACTGTGACTCCTCTGTCACAGAGATCAAGAAGGTTAGGGACTCTGACCTGATGAGTGACGTTTAACAGTTTCAGCTTCTGTTTCTCATCTCTGGGTGTGTTCTTCAGCTCAAAGAGGAGCTCCAGAGGACCAGGCAGACTCACAGTGGAGAAGCTGAGGGAACGAAAGAGGAGGTGTCAAAGTTGACGAGTGAGCTGCATCAACGTGACCTCCCCATCGCTGCTCTGAGCGGACCCTTGCCTAGCGTCAGGCAGCAGCTCCGAGGCGAGGTGGGGCTCTGGAACAATTGTGGAAAATGTGGAGTCCCAAGATTTACATGAGACTGTAAATGTCCTCCTCCGTTGTGAGCAGTGAGATCCTGTTACAGGCGTGTTTGCTGGATATGTGTTGGTCAACGTCCCCGCTCACATTAGCCCTCAGATAACTAGTTACATCTAAACCTGCTTTTGGAAGTATAGCAGCAGGTCTGATCCCCACACGATGGTCCTGAATCAGAAATGTTTTCCTTTCTCAGGTGACTCAGGCACAGCTGGAGACTTTACAAGCTGAGAACCAGCATCTGAAAGGTCTGCTGCAGCGACTGGAGCCTCCCTCACCCAAGGTCTGTCTGATATCCACCACACAGCCTTAAAAGCAGCAGCAGCAGCTAGGGACCATCAAACTTGACTCCTGCCTGTGTGTCTCTTGTCTCTCCCCAGAGGGGGGGTTCCTTCCCAGATTCTCTGAAGGAGAGCCTCAAGCCCTCCTTGAGGAGCCTGGAACAGGAAAATAATCAGTTAAAGAAGGTTCTCGCCAAGGAGCAGTCACAGCGTGACAGCTCAAATCAGACACATCGGGAGAAGTATGAGAGCGCTCTGCTCAGCCACGCCATCTCTGAGCAGCCACAGCAGGACCAGGACGGGTAGGTGGCATGTCCAAATGGGTACCAGTCCAAGCTGTTCCAGAACTGATGATGAAACCCTGTTTTGCAGGCCTCAGGTGCAGGATAAAGCCCAGAGCTGTGAGGGAGAAATCCAGAGGCTCTTCAGAGAGCTGCAGATGCTGTCCCCTACAAGGCATGGAGACCATTCCTCCTCCTCCTCTTCCTCCAGCATCAGCACTAGACTGACCAGGAGGAACTCGGTGACAGCATTAAGTCTCAATGAATCTGCTGCTGAGGGCCAAAGCTCAGGCTCAGAAGGCTCCGTGACACCAGGATTCAAAGACAAAGTGAGGCCGCGTGTTTTATGATAAAAGTCCATAATGTACAGTTCTTCTGCCAGGATTTCTGCAGATGTTTGTTTTTCCTCCCAGGATCCTTCATCAGTGTCGTCTGCACGCGGCATGGTCACTCGTTTCTTAGAGGACGAGAGCTTACGGTCCGAGGAGCTGCTGCAGAGGCTGGACCATCACATCCTGGGGATGAGAGAGCACAATACCAGAACGGTGTCCAGATATCTGGCCGGTGGCTCGGGGCCTGAGGCTGAGCCAACATCAGAGCAGAGTCATTCAACTCCTCAGCTCTAACGTTGGTAACGAATCACTGCAAAGTGTTTTAACTTCACATCTTCATCAGCCAGAGCGGACCGAGCGTCTGGTCTGATTAACTTTGTCTACATGAATGTGTTTTTGACTCCTTTGGTCTTCCTTCATCAGCATATTTACTTTGAACCAACCATAAAATAAATGTATTGAACAAATAATCATTGCTATAGTTTATTAGTGCTGAACTAACTAAAGAAACAAAACTGGAACGGACATTTTTCTTCATCAGTCCAAGACAGATGACTGGAATGTCCCTTATGTCTGTAAATATATGTATTATAAATTATTCTGCTGAGAAACAATTTAAAAAATCAGATTTCCTTTGGGTGGTTTAAGTGTGTGTGTGTGTGTGTGTGTGTGTGTGTGTGTGTGTGTGTGTGTGTGTGTGTGTGTGTGTCCTTTAGATTGTTTTAATGACCTTTGTTTAGTTTATTTATTCTTAAACGGCACCACCCATTTTTTCCACATCTATTAATTTTATTGAAGGTAGTGATTGTACGCGTTAGAGACTAAACAGAAGATTTAATAATAAACCAAACCAGGTGAGGGCTTTTATGTAAATGCATTAAAATAAAAGTTTAATTCCTTCTAAAAGTCACAAGCTGTCTCTACTTTCAGTCTCTTCTGCATGAATATATTTAGAAATGTTAATGCTTCAGAAAGGACACGCTGAAAAACCAAACTTGAGTTCTTCTCACTTAAAACTATGTTTTCTGTGTTTTTAGAGGCTTATAAATATGTATTTGTGTGAAACATGCAGAAGAGTGATTTGTCTCCATATGCTCAAAGAAAAAAGTAATTTTATTAAAACAACACTGGGTTTCAAACTGCGGCTGCTGATGTTTCAGCTGTTGGTTGGGTGTCGCTGCAGTTTGGTACATTCACTTTTGGTTCATCAGAAACATCCAGATGTGGTAGCTTTGCCACCGCTTTAGACTCTTCAATCAGAAGGAGTCCACCCACTGTCTCTCTCACCTTCAGCTGTGGATGGCTCAGTCTTTTCGAAAGTCTCTTTTTTATTTGTCTTCCCAACTTCTGGCTGTATTTACGACGTTTGCCATTTCTTTTTCTAATAGAGAAAACAGTTTTAAGGATGAAAGTCATAAATTGTTTAGAATAAATTCTGAGCTAATCATAAATTTTATAACATGCCTCAGCATGGGATCTACCACAGAGTGGTAAATAGCTTGGTACTCTTCAATAGGATAGCCATGGAACCGAAGGGGCGAGTCCCATCCTGGGACTGCATCCTGCTGGACACGATCAGGGTTGGATCCCAAACTCCAGGTCGGGAGGTCTGAGGTGGAAAAGGAAGGCTGGGGTCCTGGCTTTAAACCAAGGGGGAGGAGAAAGTCCGGAGCAGGTGTGGAGGGACGGGAGTTGAGGGGCCGAAGAGTGGGAATCTCAGCAGCAAGGGACTGCTGTTGGATAGAATTATGTCTTACATGATGCAAAAGACATGAGACAGGCGGGCATAGGCCCCACCACAGCATTACTTTAATTCTCATAAATGTCTCACTTTCACTGAGGTTCATCTGAAAACTCATTCTTGCCACAAAGTTAAGTTTTCATCTAAAACAAGTTCCAACTTTACAACTTCATAAACCCTGATGGACGAAAACAAAAACAAAGCGTATCTGAAAGGAAAATAAAATTCTGTAGCTACTGTTGGAAACATGCGGATCAATAAAGTTTCAAATGATGGGTCCAGCTCTTTCTAAATGTCCATATCTAGTGGTTAGGGTTTGATTTAGCCCTCTACTTGTACCTTCTGCTGTTCATCCCAAACATCCACATCTATGGGTTCCGTGTCATAAGACTCCTGGACCAGCTGGGGACCTGATCCCAGAGGCTGGATGAGGGGGGAGAGTCATTTCATTTCATTTCATTTATTTATAAAGCCCCTTCTGCAACCAATGCAGACACCCAAGGTACTGAACACAACACAATAAAAACATAAAACCATCAGAATAAAATATAACAATCGTAAAACCAACACAAAATCAATTAAAAGAGGAGAGTAAAAGCAAAAAATAAAATCCTGGAAAAGATTAAGAGGCCGGGGCGTCGAAACCGGGTAAAATTTGCTAATCCTGGAATGCCTCGACAAAAAAATGGGTCTTAAGGCGAGTCTTAAAAACCCCCCAATGAGGGTGACTGACGCACCACCAAAGGCAACTGGTTCCAAAGTGCAGGTGCCAACACGGAGAACGCATGGTCCCCCCGTGACCTGTACTTAGTGCGTGGAACCATCAACAGCTCCCTGCCGGCTGAGCGAAGGGCCTGCGAGGGGGCGTGTCTATGCAAAAGGTTGCCAAGATATGCTGGAGCAGTTCCTTGTAAGGCCTTGTATGTCAGTACCAAGACCTTGAATTTTGCCCTGTATTGCACAGGCAGCCAATGAAGGGATGCCAACACAGGGGTGATATGTTCCCTGCGCCTAGTGCCTGTCACAAACCTAGCGGCTGAGTATTGTACTAACTGCAAGCGTGCTACCGCACCCTGAGTAAAGCCGGCATACAGTGCATTGCAGTAGTCGAGCCTTGAAAGAACAAAAGCCTGTGTGACAGTCTCTAGATGTACTCTGGACAGCAGGGGCTTAATTCTGGCTAGGCGGCGTAAGTAAAAAAAAAAAAAAACACGATCGCACAACCTGGTTGATTTGAGCGTCGGATTTAAGGGCTGAGTCCTGTTGCACTCCCAAATTTCGGATGGTGGTCTTCACGTTAGATGCTAAAGGGCCCAGATTCACAGCATCGTATGGGCGTGTAGACATGCCAGGGCTAAGTACAATTACTTCAGTCTTAGCATCATTCAGATGTAAAAAGTTTGTTGCCATCCAGGAGTGCACATCCTCTAAGGCATCTACAAGCTTTGATATTGACCCATCGACCCCCCGCTGAAGGGGAAGGTAGATCTGACAGTCGTCAGCATAAAAATGAAAACGCATGCCGAACCGCAGAAGAAGATTCCCTCAACGGTAGTAAGTAGATGGCAAAAAGAAGCGGACCCAGTACAGACCCCTGTGGCACACCCCACTTGAGCCCCTTCCAGGTCGAGGAGGTTTCACCTACACTGACACAAAAACTCCTGTCAGATAAGTAGGAGTGTAGCCATTGAAGGGCTGCACCGGTAATTCCCGCCCAGTGTTGTAGCCGATCCAAAAGTATGTCATGATCGACCGTGTCAGGCCGCAGACAAATCTAGCATCCCCCTCGTCACAAGCTAAAAAACATCATTAAGAACCATTAAAAGTGCAGTCTCTGTACTGTGACCTGCTCTGAACCCTGACTGAAAGCTCTCCCAGAGTTTGTGAGTGTCTAAAAATGCAACCAGCTGTAAATATACAACCCTCTCAAGCAGCTTGGATAAGTAAGGTAGATGAGAGATAGGTCTGTAATTGGCTAACACAGTTTCTTCCATCCCCTTCTTTTTCAGCAGTGGTCGTACAACAACCCTCTTAAAAGTAAGGGGAACCACTCAAGAGGCCAGACTGGTATTTAAGATAACCAGTACATAAGGGGCCAGAACAGAAAAAGCCTTCGTAAGCATCCTTGGGGGAAGAGCATATTAAGGGGAACCAGAAGGTTTTTGCTTAGAAATGAGTTCCTCTAGCTCTGTCATAGATATAGTCTGGAAGGCTGGCAGGTTTGCCCTAAGTGGCATAGGTGCCACGAAAACAGAAGTGCGGCCTACAATAGTCCAGGACTTAAACTCAGGTCACACAGGCTCAAGGTCAATGGTAGGAAACCCAGAGCGGGGCTCAACATGTGAGCTCTGTGGAGATTCAGCAGCATGTGGCAGCTGATGGGGAGATGGACCAATGTCCCAAACATAACAACTATAGAGAGCTTCTGACTTAAGCAGAGAGATTTACTGATCACAGAACATCTAAACATCATCATAAACATCTAGCTAAAGTCAAACATAATCATGGCCGTAAAAACTCACATCTTCCATGATGGAGCAGAGTCTGCAGAAGGTAACAGAGACCAAGGCAAAGATCTTTGCTTTAGAATAAGCTCTAAACAAGGTGATGTTCTCTCAGGTCAGATTTTGAATCAGCTTGTTTTTAAATAATGCTGTAGGATGCAGATGCACAGCATTCTTTAGAACTATGATGTGTTTATGATCAAATTTAAAACAGCATGAGTGAGTTTAATGTGGCATTCAGTTTATATTACAAACATTCAGCTGTGTTTTCATTCATGAAGAAAAGTTACAAAACTGTTAGAGAGGCAAAACGATCAGCATTAAACAAATGGTTGTATTATATTATATTATATTATATTATATTATATTGTGTATTAAGATAAAAAATATCATACATTAGTATGCGTCATGAAAACAAGATAAAACATCATACATTAGTATGTGTCATGAAAACATGATAAAATATCATACATTAGAATGTGTCATTAAAACATGATAAAAACAACATACATTAGTATGTGTCATGAAAACATGATAAAAACATAATACATAAGTATGTGTCATAAAAACATGATAAAAAACATTATACATTAGTATGTGTCATGAAAACATGATAAAAACATCATACATTAGTATGTGTCATGAAAACATGATAAAAACATCATACTTTAGTATGTGTCATGAAAGCATGATAAAAACATAATACATCAGAATGTGTCATGAAAACATTATAAAAACATCATACATTAGTATGTGTCATGAAAACATGATAAAAACATAATACATCAGTATGTGTCATAAAAACATGATAAAAAACATTATACATTAGTATGTGTCATGAAAACATGATAAAAACATCATACATTAGTATGTGTCATGAAAACATGATAAAACATCATACATTAGTATGTGTCATGAAAACATGATAAAAACATCATGCATTAGTATGTGTCATGAAAACATGATAAAAACATCATACATTAGTATGTGTCATGAAAGCATGATAAAAACATAATACATCAGAATGTGTCATGAAAACATAATAAAAACATCATACATTAGTATGTGTCATGAAAACATGATAAAACATCATACATTAGAATGTGTCATGAAAACATGATGAAAACATAATACATCAGTATGTGTCATGAAAACATGATAAAAACATCATACATTAGTATGTGTCATGAAAACATGATAAAACATCATACATTAGTATGTGTCATGAAAACATGATAAAAACATCATGCATTAGTATGTGTCATGAAAACATGATAAAAACATCATACATTAGTATGTTTCATTAAAGCATGATAAAAACATAATACATCAGAATGTGTCATGAAAACATAATAAAAACATCATACATTAGTATGTGTCATGAAAACATGATAAAACATCATACATTAGAATGTGTCATGAAAACATGATGAAAACATAATACATCAGTATGTGTCATGAAAACATGATAAAAACATCATACATTAGTATGTGTCATGAAAACATGATAAAAACATAATACATTAGAATGTGTCATGAAAACATGAAAAAACATCATACATTAGTATGTGTCAGGAAAACATGATAAAACATCATACATTAGTATGTGTCATGAAAACATGATAAAAACATAATACATCGGTATGTGTCATGAAAACATGATAAAACATCATACATTAGAATATGTCATGAAAACATGATAAAAACAAAATACATCAGTATGTGTCATGAAAACATGATAAAAAAATCATACATTAGTATGTGTCATGAAAACATAATAAAAACATCATACATTAGTATGTGTCATGAAAACATGATAAAACATCATACATTAGAATATGTCATGAAAACATGATAAAAACAAAATACATCAGTATGTGTCATGAAAACATGATAAAAAAATCATACATTAGTATGTGTCATGAAAACATGATAAAAACATCATACATTAGAATGTGTCATGAAAACATGATAAAACATCATACATTAGAATGTGTCATGAAAACATGATGAAAACATAATACATCAGTATGTGTCATGAAAACATGATAAAAACATCATACATTAGTATGTGTCATGAAAACATGATAAAACATCATACATTAGTATGTGTCATGAAAACATGATAAAAACATCATGCATTAGTATGTGTCATGAAAACATGATAAAACATCATACATTAGTATGTTTCATGAAAGCATGATAAAAACATAATACATCAGAATGTGTCATGAAAACATAATAAAAACATCATACATTAGTATGTGTCATGAAAACATGATAAAACATCATACATTAGAATGTGTCATGAAAACATGATGAAAACATAATACATCAGTATGTGTCATGAAAACATGATAAAAACATCATACATTAGTATGTGTCATGAAAACATGATAAAAACATAATACATTAGAATGTGTCATGAAAACATGAAAAAACATCATACATTAGTATGTGTCAGGAAAACATGATAAAACATCATACATTAGTATGTGTCATGAAAACATGATAAAAACATAATACATCGGTATGTGTCATGAAAACATGATAAAACATCATACATTAGAATATGTCATGAAAACATGATAAAAACAAAATACATCAGTATGTGTCATGAAAACATGATAAAAAAATCATACATTAGTATGTGTCATGAAAACATGATAAAAACATCATACCTTAGTATGTGTCATGAAAACATGATAAAACATCATACATTAGTATGTGTCATGAAAACATGATAAAAACATAATACATTAGAATGTGTCATGAAAACATGAAAAAACATCATACATTAGTATGTGTCATGAAAACATGATAAAACATCATACATTAGTATGTGTAATGAAAACATGATAAAACATCATACATTAGTATGTGTCATGGAAACAAGATAAAAACATCATACATTAGTATGTGTCATGAAAACATGATAAAAACATCATACATTAGTATGTGTCATGAAAACATAATAAAAACATCATACATTAGTATGTGTCATGAAAACATGATAAAACATCATACATTAGTATGTGTCATGAAAACAAGATAAAAACATCATACATTAGTATGTGTCATGAAAACATGACAAAAACATCATACATTAGTATGTGTCATGAAAACATGATAAAAACATCATACAGTAGTATGTGTCATGAAAACATGATAAAAACATAATACATTAGTATGTGTCATGAAAATATGATAAAAACATAATACATTAGAATGTGTCATGAAAACATGAAAAAACATCATACATTAGTATGTGTCATGAAAACATGATAAAACATCATACGTTAGTATGTGTCATGAAAACATGATAAAACATCATACATTAGAATGTGTCATGAAAACATGAAAAAACATCATACATTAGTATGTGTCATGAAAACATGATAAAAACATCATACATTAGAATGTGTCATGAAAACATAATAAAAACATCATACAATAGTATGTGTCATGAAAACATGATAAACATAATACATTAGTATGTGTCATGAAAACATGATAAAACATCATACATTAGTATGTGTCATGAAAACAAGAAAAAACATCATACATTAGTATGTGTCATGAAAACATGATAAAACATCATACATTAGTATGTGTCATGAAAACATGATAAAACATCATACATTAGAATGTGTCATGAAAACATGAAAAAACATCATACATTAGTATGTGTCATGAAAACATGATAAAAACATCATACATTAGAATGTGTCATGAAAACATAATAAAAACATCATACAATAGTATGTGTCATGAAAACATGATGAAACATAATATATTAGTATGTGTCATGAAAACATGATAAAACATCATACATTAGTATGTGTCATGAAAAAAGGATAAAAACATCATACATTAGTATGTGTCATGAAAACATGACAAAAACATCATACATTAGCATGTGTCATGAAAACATGATAAAACATCATACAGTAGTATGTGTCTTGAAAACATGATAAAAACATAATACATTAGAATGTGTCATGAAAACATGAAAAAACATCATACATTAGTATGTGTCATGAAAACATGATAAAACATCATACCTTAGTATGTGTCATGAAAACAGGATAAAAACATCATACATTAGTATGTGTCATGAAAACATGAAAAAACATCATACATTAGTATGTGTCATGAAAACATGATAAAACATCATACATTAGTATGTGTCATGAAAACATGGTAAAAACATCATACATTAGTATGTGTCATGAAAACATGATAAAAACATCATACATTAGAATGTGTCATGAAAACATAATAAAAACATCATACATTAGTATGTGTCATGAAAACATGATAAAACATCATACAATAGTATGTGTCATGAAAACATGATAAAACATCATACAATAGTATGTGTAATGAAAACATGATAAAAAATCATACATTAGTATGTGTCATGAAAACATGATAAAAACATCATACATTAGTATGTGTCATGAAAACATGACAAAAACATCATACATTAGTATGTGTCATGAAAACATGATGAAAACATAATACATTAGAATGTGTCATGAAAACATGAAAAAACATCATTCATTAGTATGTGTCATGAAAACATGATAAAACATCATATATTAGTATGTGTTATGAAAACATGATAAAAACATCATACATTAGTATATGTCATGAAAACATGATAAAAACATCATACATTAGTATGTGTCATGAAAACATGATGAACTATCATACATTAGTATGTGTCATGAAAACATGATAAAAACATCATACATTAGTATGTCATAAAAACATGATAAAAACATCATACATTAGTATGGGTCATGAAAACATGATGAAACATCATACATTAGAATGTGTCATGAAAACATGATATAAAAACATCATACATTAGTATGTGTCATGAAAACATGATAAAACATCATACATTAGTATGTGTCATGAAAACATGATAAAAAATCATACATTAGTATGTGTCATGAAAACATGATAAAAACATCATGCATTAGTATGTGTCATGAAAACATGACAAAAACATCATACATTAGTATGTGTCTTGAAAACATGATGAAAACATAATACATTAGAATGTGTCATGAAAACATGAAAAAACATCATTCATTAGTATGTGTCATGAAAACA